GCGCGCTCTCTCCCTCCCTCCTCCTCCTTCCCTCCCACGTGACTAAAAAAGGGTGTCGCCGCGGGTGGCGTCAGCGGCGGCCCCCGGTTGATGACGCCACGGACCCTCGCGGGCATGCTCACTCCACGCCTTCGTCCACCCTCCTGCTTGAGGAGAATGGAAGCCTCTCCGTGGAGCGCCGGTGGGCGGGGCCGCCGGGGTGGGCGGGGCCTCCTCCCTTTTTAAAGGGGCCGCCTCCCACTTTGGCGCCTTTTTTTTTTTTAAAAACCCCTTTCCCCTCAGGCGCGGAAGAGCGCGCTTTCTCTCGCCTCATGTTCTGGCACGTTTTAAATAAAAGGTTTCACGTTTAAAAACAGATTTATAGAGATACTCAAGAGAAAGATGCATAATAGGAACATATGAGTTTGTTTCTTTATAGAAGTATATATGGAATAGAATTAAATAATAATATTCATAATAAAAAATAAAAACATTTGTATAAGACATAAGAAATTTATTTGTCATTGCGCTCACAAGTGGGTGCAACGAAATGAGGTGCTCTTCCCCAAGGTAAAACTGGACAACACTACAAAAAAAAGTTAAAATATGCACAACTTTCACCATCCAAATATAGATACCCCGTTTTCTCTCAGCAATTAAAAAGTCCACCAAAAACTTATATATTAGAGATTCTAACTCTCCCCAAGTTAAATATTTATTTTTTAAAACACCAACTTTGACACCCGATTGGGAAAAAATACAGGACAAGTTATTATGCCAGTTTATATATATATTGTTTTATTTATTTATGCATAATTTCCTTACTTACGGAAAATTTATTTCAAATGTTTAAACCAACTCTGAATGTGTGTGTTTATAGGAGTTGGCTTAATCATTTTATATAACATATTAATAATATATTGTTTCAAATCCTGTATTATTTCAACTGATTAAGCCAAGTCAGAACGTCTCTGTCTTCTTCTGCTACACAGGACGAACAAAATCGTACCTGTTTGCTTTCTCATTCGCATGAAATTTAGACGGGTTAAGATATAATGAAAATGATTTTCCATCGGGTTAAAATCTGCCGGATCCGTCAGAAAGAGTACTAACCCAGCCATCAAATGTTATAGCCAGATAGATCGACTTTCTCCCGACAGATTCTGGACATCTAAGGAAAGAGTAACAACATCTGGTGTTGGAGAATGTCATTGTCTTCATCATCCTAGAACTGCAGAGCTGGAAGGGATCCTATAGATCATCAAGTCCAGCCTCTGTCAAAGAGGCCCAGTGGGGGATTTGAACTCCCAACCTTGGGCTTCGCAGCCACAGACTTTAACCACTGAGCTGTCCAGCAGTTCATTGGGGCACACCCTTTACTCCAGCGGATTAAATAAGAGATCAAATCACGTCCCTTCTCTTGTGTTGCTTCCAATCAGAATGGAATCCACGGAGCTCTAGAACCGAGGGACCCACCGATGTCACACAACGCTGATCCGACGTTCCAGATCATGGCGGACAGGATGGGTCAACATCGCTGACCGGGAGTAATGGAGTTCCGGCAGAAACAAGTCAAATTTCTGGCCCAGCAGTATTTGGACAACAGCCGCCTGGAAATACAACCCCAAGCCTCATTGCTCTACAGGAGACATCTTCCATCCCATCGGTAATGGGGACAGGCGACGGTTCCGTGGTCCGGAATGATTTCCATGACGTTCCGCTCTAAATTGGATTCATTTCATCCAACGTCAATTAAAACAGGATGTTGAGTGAAGAGTATATTGAGTCCCATTGGAGTAGGCCAAGCCTGGATCGCTCCGGTGGCTAAATGCAAAAAATGTTGTGTATGGGAATGCTAGAATTGTCACGTCAACGAGTTTAAGGACTCTATTCTAATTGATATAGGCTATCATCTTAATTTGGACCTCCTTTTAAGGTGGAGGGAGTCTTTTTCTCACTCGTACCGAAGTTTTGTCCGAACCGAGACTTTAACGGCAAGAGACGGTCAACCAAAAATGTAGAAAAATTAAGTTTACAAATTGGAACACTCCTCATCGTTAACACACACAACTGCTTGCTCTGGCCACGCACCAAGCCTTGGGGGTGCCAAGGTTGTGTTGCCTTACACACTGCATCCTGTTCTCTTCCTAGGAGTCACCTGAACAGGGAAACCAGCACGCAGCCCATCTTCCCCGACATTCATTCTGGAAGAAAAAATAGTGAGTAGGGAAAAAAAGAATCTGTGGAGAAACACCGCATGTTTTCTTGTTGGTTCACGGGGAGAAAACAGCCAGGCGGGCCCTACCGTTGGGTAGAATGAGCCCGGACAAATTTGGTGTCATCGCGAAATGATTCACGATTTACTCCGTTGCATTTTAAAATCAAAAGCACGGGTGGGTTTGGGTTTTGCTGTGCGCGCCGTGGGTTTCTATGCCCCTGGATTCCCATGGGGATGTGTGTCAAAGGCCATGGCAAAAAAGCTTGGGCTGAGCCCCACCTCAAGGAATTCCAAAGCCCCGCCAAGGAGCCAAAATAAATAAATAAAAATAACAGTTTAGTAGTACGTATGGGCACCGTCGTCTGCCAACAGAGCTGGGTGCCATCACTTCAAGAGACAATAAGATGGGGTTTTTGTTGTCGTTTTTTGATAACAGCTTCCAGAAAAGCTTCACCTCTACTTGTTGAATTCTTTTTTAATATACACATCTGTTTCTAGCTTTTAAATGTTCTCTTTTCAATGATGTAAGTTGCCTTAGGTCCTTTTTATTTTATGGCCACTAAAGGTTCTAATGATGGGGATGAGAAAGGAGGGATAAAAATATTTTTAATAAATATAATTCCTTTGTGGCACGTAATAACTGTATTTCCCCCCTCTTAGGGCGTGGAGCCAGTCCAGAAGGCCGTCTGCAACTGATCCTCAACGTGGACAGCCCGGGACCAGCAGCTTACTCACCCCCTTGTGTGAACTTCAGGGAAACCTGCGCTCCATCGTACACCTTTGGATGGAAAACACCCCCCAGAGGTAAAGGGGGAGGCAACGGGATCAGGGACTAGAGTTATATAAAGGCCGTTTGCAAAGGCAGGGCGCAGCAACGCCTGGCGCTCCAGATGTGGTCAGAGGATCCCTTTATTCGTTTTTCTGCTGACTAGGAATTGCAGGCATCTTTCGGAGTCTTTAAGGCCTCGAGGTGAGGATGATGGGCCACATTTTTATAACACGAGGAGACATGTCTAGGCCACGGACCTCTGTCAGGATACTGGGAATTCCACCCCCTTTTTTCCCCCCATCTTCCAACATAATCTTGTTTTTTTTCCCCTGTCTCTCCAGAGGGTGGAGGACGCCGCTCCTGGCAGAAATCTTGGTTCTTATGCAAGAATCCCTTCATCAGGAAAACAGATTTTGCCACCGAAACAAACGTAGGTGCCGCCCGCCACGGGGTAGACACGGTTGAACAGAACCCCTCGAGAGCAGAGAAGCATAAACTTTTATGCTTTGCTAGACCCATGAGAGGTTTTAAGCTTTCAGGATCTGGCATGGCAGTGGTACCCACAGAGGGAAACGCAGGTGTTATTGGACTACAACTCCCAGAAGCCTTTGCTGCCAGATGTGCTGCCTGGGTTTTCTGGGAGTTGTGGTTCGACACCACCTGGGGTGACCCAAATCGGGGAACCACTGTGCTATGGGAGAGTTTTGAACCCAGGTGCAGAGTAAGTCTTGTGAGCCCAGGAATTTATTTTGAGAACCGACACCAATCCGCCCGTCTCTGCATTTTCTGTGCTAAAATCTATGCCAAGTGAAATGTGGGTTTTCCAGAGGAGAAACGTTGGTGCAGCTTCTGCAGAACAGAAGTAGAGATTTTATCACCCTTTTAAGCAGTTTTAGGTGTGAGAGAGATCATCCGGAAAAGGCTTAAGGAGAGTAGAACATGTGATCCCGAAAGCTCTCCAGGCTTAACACAGCTTTATGGGGAGAGAACCTGATGAAATACCCCCAATGTCTCTTGGGGGGGGGGGCTCTTTCATATTGTTGTCGCTATCGTTAAACATCTGGAAACATTGGCTCGCTCTCCCTCGGAGGGGTGGCTTCGGCACATCTGGCGGCCCTTTCTCTTTTCGTTCCAGTGGCCCTCTCCGTTCGACTACGGCCAGACCTTGGGATCCCAGCTGGTCAACTGTCCCACCAGCCCAAATTTTACCATCGGCCAAAAGACGGAGTTCTCTTTCGTCAACAAAAGTGAGGAGAGGGCAGAGGCGTTGTAGACGGCGCTGGGTTTGGGGCTGGGGGGGGGACGGAGAAGCGAATGCTCGGTCCAGAGCAACCGAGAAGCCCCCACAGCCGCTAATTGCAGAGTCCCCGGACGCTTGGGTAATGGTTATGGGTTCAAACGTCTCTTAATAGAGGCTCCCACAACCTCTTGTATGCCAAGCCAGATCACCAGCCTAGAAAGCCGTCTGTCGAGTGACGACAGGGGAACTCCAGTGTCTAGTGAAGCCTGATGAACTAATGGATTTAAGCATCTGGTTCTACAGCCAGAGGTTGGGAGTTTGATTCCCCCATTGGGCTTCCTTCACAGATTCAACGATCCATAAGGTTCCCTCTTGGTCAGCCGTTCTAAGATTATAATGATCGTTATTATCAGCAAGGTTAGGAAATAAGGAGTGACGACAGGGGAACTCCAGTGTCTAGTGAAGCCTGATGAACTAATGGATTTAAGCATCTGGTTCTACAGCCAGAGGTTGGGAGTTTGATTCCCCCATTGGGCTTCCTTCACAGATTCAACGATCCATAAGGTTCCCTCTTGGTCAGCCGTTCTAAGATTATAATGATCGTTATTATCAGCAAGGTTAGGAAATAAGGCCAGTTGGGAGTTCAATTCCCCCATTGGGCCTCTTTCACAGATTCGATGATCTATAGGGCCCCTTCTGGCTCGGCCATTCTAAGATTATGATTGTTATTATCAGCAAGGTTAGGAAATAAGACCAGCAAGGGGTCACTTTCCATACTGAAACAACGCACACTTCTGAAGTCCCTTTCCTGGAGCCCCTTGCGCTCCAAAGGAAAAGAGCCTCGTCTTCCTTTCGAACTCGCCTCCCTCCCTGGTTTCCCCCCCCCCTTCTCGCTACAGACACAGTCAACGACCCGGCGCCCAACAGGTACAACACGGAGCAGGCTTATAAGCACATTGTGAACAGGTCGCCCTCCTTCGTGATCAGCCCCGCACCACACCTCATTTACAGGTGGCCCAGAAAAGGTGAGGCAAATCTAAAAGAACGACACACACAGAGAGACACCCCTTCCGATCGTTGCTTTTCCAACATCTTTTCTGGAAGACAGGGAGGGGCAGAGACGGGAAGAGGACTCACAGGAGTATCGGTGTGCCAGGCGTGTGCTAATTACTGTGACATAAGATCATGGCTCTAAGAGATATGTAGAATATCCATTCAACCCCCCCCCCCAAATTAATATAGAATTAGCAACTGCAAATACTCAGCAAAGGAGGGTCAATTCACGTTTTGCATTAGCTCCCAGGTTGCCCCCCCCCGGTGGCCTCCAAAGCCTTGCATGAGACCTACCCCCAAAAACCTGTTTTTAAAAAAATCCAAATTGTCATTTGCTGGAAAAAAAAACCCTCTAAAATTCTGCTTATTTTAAGAAGACTCACTCAAAAGCCTCTTTTATCAATGGTGATCTGAAAGAAAAGTAACCTCTCAGTATCAACTGTTTTCCTCAGCATTTCTTTTTCTGCAAACCCAGTTTATTTAAATAGGCTTAAGCCTACATTCTAATTATTTAAAGAGCCTTAAACGTTTGCTGAAAGAAGACAACTCTGCTTCTACACCTGACACATGAGCACCAACGGCTTCCAAAGCTGACTTGGTAGCGACTGTGTTCAGATTTTTAAGCTCTTGCTTGGATGTTCTCACTGGCACAATGACGGCGCCTGCTCGCGGTAGTTTCGTAACAGGCAGCGCTCCTTTCAGATCACAATCTAGGATCACCTCCTCCCTTGTTCCTTCTTTTTGCAGAGGGCACCCCTGGACCCGCAGCTTACAACGTGGAGAGGGGGCACATCGCCCGGCTGCCCAGCACCCCAAGTTTCTTCATCCAAGGCGTGAGACGGCCAAAGAGGCACGAGACGGGGCCCTTTTCTGCACTGTGAGAGCACCGCCATTAACTAGAGAGGGGCACCAACCCGTTTGGCCCCAGGGGGCTTCCGTGGTTCCGCGCCCCGCCTCCTCTAGCAGGCGCCCGCTCAGAAGTAGCGCCTGAAGGAGGCAGGGGCAGAGAAACCTGGCTCCTTCCTCCGAGTGGGTGGCTGCCTGAGGAGGCGGGGCTCAGGAACCCAGAACACCCATTGGGCTGCCCACTGAACCGCTAATTCCTGCCCATCTCTAGCCATAAGGTGTCATCTTTCTGGCGGCACCCAGTGCTTGATTCTCACTCAGTCTCAAGGAAGCCCACGGAGTGGAAACAGGCAGAAATATGTAGACCGCCTACTTTACACGCTTAAGGAACTATATAAGCAAAGAACTCACACATACAAAAATTCAAGACTTGCCCATTAAAATTCACTGATGCTCACTACAGGCAGAGCGAACTGCCAGCCTCACACGGCTATGATTTCGCCGTCCACCTACACTTAAGAGGGCAGTGGCCCCCCCGAACAGGTAGTACTGCTCATGGACCCCTCCTCTGTGAGTGGACCCATGATTTTCAGGTGATAGATCAGAAGCATCAAGGAAGAAAGAAACCTTCGCACCTTGAGAATCAGGAGTTTTTTTTATTATTATTATAGAGATTTCCTTTACAAAACTTGCAGGGGAAAATCCATGTCGGCCAAGGTTTTAGCTCTGTCGGGAGAGAAGAATATTTGAAAAAAAAAATATAAGCCAGGTCAACCTCGTGAGAAGGGGGGGGCAACATATGACATTGGGAGTGGATTTGAAGGGAAAGTGGCACTTACCGCTGGGCATTCAACTGCCCCAGAATCGATGTCATCAATGATGTCGTGAGGATGCCTCCCGTCAATATTACAGCCAACAGACTGAGCTGTTCCCAGAATCTCCTTAATGGTCCCTGTGGGAGGGAGCAAGAATGGAGAAAAGTCACGCAGGGGCCTGCACGCACCACACCAAACGGGGTTCTTGGGAGCTTAAGAGGCAACGTGGCTTGAGGAGAGAAAGCCTAACAGAGCCATTAGCTGCTTATTTCAAGGTAGCCGGCGAAAGAGAATCTCCTGCCGGATTGTGGCCAAGGATCAGATCATTTGTGACACACTGGGCGTTCTTCTCCCCTCCCGAAACCATGTCCCCAAAAAACACACCCATCTTGATTAGGAAACAAGGTCAAGGAGACTTGTTTATGAGACTTAAAGACAGCAATAAATGGGTGAGCACTTTAGCAGGCGTTGTGGTTCTTAACAGGAAAAAGGACCACAGCTTGGCGGGACACCCCATGTTTTGCGTGCAGGAGGACCAAAGCTGAACCCCCATCATCTCTGGAGAAAACCGATCTCCCTGCTAGACAGTGAAAGGAAAATGCACCTCCTCTTAGTCTGGTGAGGTGGGCCGAGGCGGAAGCGTACGGTGTGGAAGGCCACTGCCTGAGCCCCAAGATGGGACATAAGAACAGAGGGGCCGGTTTTGGTAAACACACTATGGAAAGGCAAATATTTTCAGGCAGTGGATAAGTGAATCAAGTGGATACTGGTCCTGCAGATGGGGGTGGTGGTGGTGTTCCTAACAGGTAAAATTGGGGTGGGGCATTTCTGGCTTTCCAGGTCTTTGAGACTCCCAACACCCAGGAGGCTGAACCAACAAAACCAGCGGCTAGAGACCCCAAGTCCCAAAATCTGGAGGTTCAATGTTGCCCTTATGGCTTGATAGATTTTTTTAAAGGCAATTTCTCATTCTCAATTGTTGCTATGCGGTGGATGGGCCAAATGAAGTAGACCCAAACCGAGGCATTTCCTGCTTTCCTCTCCCCCCTTACCGGAGAGCTCCCGGGCCAAGGATCGGTGCCTCATCTGCCGGGCAATGCTGACAACCTCATCGAAGCTGATGCTGCCGCTGTGCTTAACTGGAAGAAAGAACAAGAACGTCAGTTGGAAAAGAGGAAGGGGGATCTCGGGGGGGGGGGCGCTCCCGAGCTGTCAGCCACGCTCCAAAGCAGAAAGAGGAAATGCCTTGCCTCGCGAAATGAGGCTTGTTCCCAATCATCGGCACAGAGTTACCCACGGAGAGGGCAAGCCTGTTTCCTAGAATGGGGCTTCGCTCTTAGCTCACCACTGGAATGTCCAAGCCACAGGCGAGAAGCAGGCAAGAACAGTGGCGGGTGGCTGTCGTGCACAGAAGCGCCACCGAAAGCCAAAAGGAGACAAGGTCATGCCATTTTTCCGAACCTCACTGCAGGTGGGTCTTGCCTCCCTGTTTTGGAAACGATGACCTTCCGTTTGCTTTTCTCCAAGCGGGCTTTTAAACACGTCACCGTGAGTCCTCGCGGAAAGCATGCGTGGAAGTCTTCCAAAAGTAACCTCACCTTTTCCATCTAAGATGATGGTCCTCCTTTGCTCTCCCCATTAATATCTCCTCTCTAAACATTCAACTGCTGGTTTACTTCACCGGCTTACACATACACCGTCACCAGTGACCCCCAACACTCACTGTTTTTTTGCTTCTTGCGATCACGAGGTGGCTCTTTCAGAGCCTTGATGATCAAGGCGGAGGCGGACGGAACCACCTCGATCTGGAAGGCAAGAGAGGAAAAACTGGGTCACGAGGTGGGGATGGGGGAAAAGAGAGACCGGCCACCGGCTGCACAGAACCTGCCCCGTCAACCGTATTAAGCTGCAGACTGGAGTGGGTCAGAAATCTTATTTCTTTTTTTACTTAAAGTGCATTTCTAAAGTGTGGGCCCATCTCCCTTCCCGGTTTCTGTTTATCTTCTTTCAAAGCAGCCTGGCTGAAAATAAAGCTCAAATGTACGACCTCAAAATTTCAAAGAACTCTACTTCCTCAGACGCATCAATCTACAAAAGCTGAGAAAATACATCTGCTCGTCTTCGTGATACGATGCTTCTTCTGGCAAAACACTTCCAATGCTTGGTATAGTTTCTTTTACTGTAATTATGTATGGAAACTGTTTTATCACAGCTACTTCAAAAACCGTTATGGTTAACCATTAAAAACAGCCTTTTCCCATCACAACCTCTAGGTGTGTGATCTGGAGACCTCAATAAAGTGGCCATCAGATACAGAAAGTGTACCAGTTTTGATGAGACAGTATGGCTTCTCAAGGTTCTCGGATTGCAAATTCCATGATCCCTTACCACCGACTCTGAATTCCGAATCACGGGCCATGCTGATCATCGGAACTGGATCTGAAATTTCTGGAAAGGTTGGCCGTTCAGAATGTATAACCTATCCAGCGATCCGAACAATCCAGAGTCACAGCTTAGCAAAGCCAATTATTGCCAAAGATCCAGAAAGAAAAGACAGCAACGTTTTTGCTTCCCAGCCACGGAATCCTGAGATTTGATAAAGCCGTGTTCTGCTTTCCTTCCGACGAGCCCAAATGCGTTCTCTACGCACAACGACCCTATGAGGTCGGACCGCAGAAATGGGACACTCTTCAGGAAGAGGAAGGATTTCCGCCGGTCGGTGTCCCAAACCCACAAAACACAAAGCACAAGAATCAAGGGTTTCTGCCCCCAAATCCTTAAAGGGGCTGTGATTTTAAGGTCCCGGCCCCCAGAGACCTCCCACGCCGCCAGGGGCGTGGTACTCATTTTATCGACCTCGGAAGGATGAAGGGCTGAGTCGACCCTGCCGGGAAGCCGACCCTTGGGGGTCGGTCCCTTGCGGCGTTGGCTGTACCTGAGCTTGCCTGTTCTGGATGGTCAGCTTCACGGTGATCCGGAGGCCCTTCCAATCGCCGGTGGCTTTGGCAATGTCATCGCCCACCTTCTTGGGCGACTGGAAAAGAAAAATACCCACATGGGGTGGGGTTAGCTCCGCCAGAGGGTCAAAGGCCAGGATTGGCAACGGTGACATTCAAACAGCAAACGGAGATCACTCACTTACCCCCCAAGAAATGGAACGTTTTGAAAGTGCAACTTGGAATATTTTCTAAAACGCTGCTAAAAGCTTAATACTTTGTTAAGTCATTTTGGATATATTCACAATACCCTTTAAATTCCCTAATTTTTAAGGTGGGAAAAACTGCTAAAATCTTTTTCCTGGATTTACACCCAGGCAGCCATGTGACGCATAGCGTTTGCTATAATCTGCATTTTCCAGCATCCACAGAGGGCTTAGAATCAATCCACCCTAGATATGGAGGTCTTGCTGTACCCCCAGTTTTATTCTAAAAATTAAAGAGTGAACTTACCAAACCCAAAGGCCCAATTTTAGGAGCCAGGGCGGAAGTGGCACCAACTTCACCTCCTGTACATCTCAAGTACACTGCATAGAGAAAAAAACAATCAAACACATTCCATATAATTAGTACGAATTTCAAGAAAGATCTCACAAAAGACTGGCCTTGAAATGACTACAGGTTAAAAGGGAACCGAAAAACATCTTTCTTGAGGCTGCGTAAGGTCACCTCAGCATCATTTAGCCCCAAGAATTAACCTGAGCAAAAAGATGAAACAGCAGAATCATGTTTATAGACACTCTTTCAGAGTAGACCTAGATGAGCGGGAGAAAAATCCAATAAAAAAATAAATATGTTCTTTAGAAGGGCAAAAATGGATTTTTGAAGGAAGAGCCACCACAATTTAACAGAAAACATATACTGTTCAATTTTTGGCATTTTTCCAGTACAATTACCAAGCAGCTGGTAACTCAACCTTTGTTAGACTCTTCTTGAATGCTTGCACACTGAGCATTTTTTAGCTTTCAGTATTTCTTTTTAATGATATAATTCACCCTGGATGCTTTTTCAGGAGAAAAGTGGGGTATAAAATATTCTAAATAGATAAATAGTGACTTTTGAAAGCTTTCGTTTGCAAGGCTCGGCTACGGTCTCGCAAACCAAAGTGGTGGTTTCCACTACTGGGTGAATCCATTTCACGTTCACCGTCCTCATCTCCTACTTCCCACCCACTCAACGTCATTTCTACTGCCAAAAGGTCAAGGATGAGTAATAAAACCGAGGAATCTTCCAGGATCTCGCCCCCTTGAGTGACACAGACACGCAAATAGCCCCCTCAGCGCGCACGGAAGAAGCAGGGGGAGCATTCACACGTGCTAGGCCGAAAGGAGCTTGCATGGATAGGCCCCATTGGGAGCACCGAGCGAGGCCCGCCGCCGAATAAGCCGGGAAGGCAAAGACGTTCGGGGGGAAAAACCTACCGACTTTGATTTCGTTGGGGTCGAACTTGGGCGGCATGGCGGCGGGAGGGTCGGCGGGCTAAGCCCCGAGCGGATGGCAGCGGATGCGAAACGACCACCAACCAACACTCGCGAATACAGGCGGAAAAAGAGACAGTCGCAGGGCGAGCCAAGGGTATATATATAGGGGGAGATCTCGCGAGACTAGGCACAGTCTCCGCCCTCCCCCCCACGACGGCAGCTATTGGCTCTCGGGTTGGAAGCGCAGGCGGAGGAAGCCATGTTAGATTTGGGCCTTAAAAAAAAGAAGCGGGCGGAGGAAGACGTGCAGGCGCAACTTCCGGTATAAGCTTAAAAAAAAAGAAGCGGGCGGAGGTCGGCGTCACTTGGAGCCGCGCGCAGGCTCAACTTCCGGTATGGGAGAGAGTAAGGCTTCCCAGTCTATCCCGCCGCGCCTCTATGGTGAAACTTCTCCCTCTTTCCTTCCCAAATACGGCTTCCCCTCTATAGTCGTCGGCCACGCCCCCTGCGTCCTCCCAATGACCCCCGCGCGCGAGCGGCTTTCCGCCATGATTAAGATGGGCGCCTCTGAGGGGCTGAGGCCGCGGGCGCCATCTTAGTCTCGGGCAGCGGGAGCGGTGGACGCCGTTGGGCGCGGGGGTAGCGCTCGGGCCCACAGAGACGGCGCTGCGGTGCTTCTGGGGTGCCGCCCGTTCGGGAGGGGGCTGGACAGGCGAGCCCAGAAAAAAGCCTGAGGAGAAAGAGAAGAACAGGGAACCGGGACGGGCTAGGCCATACGGGGCGCCGTAGGGGTCATTCCCACGGCGGGCGGAGCCTAAGACCGGCTTTTACGTAGATGGGCGGAGCCTTGCTCTTTCTCCCCCCCGCGCGTCGGAGGCGTGGTTCCAAGGCAGTGGGCGGGGCCTCCCGAGGCCACGCCCCTTCCGCGTTTCTGGGTGGGGCCAGAGAAGGCTGGTGTTGTCCTCCACCTCTCGGGCGCAGTCTACCTGGGCGATCCAAGCTGCCCTTGGTTTCTCCTCCTCCCTCCCTTCCCAACCAAGGGAGCTTCTGCCAGCATGACAGGCAGAAATCCGACCCCTCTCTAGCTCAGCGTAGGCTGCACCTGTTGAATTTCAGCCTGGAAATCCTATTTTTTTTTTCCTTTTAAAAATCTCATTTTCAGCCTTAAATCCAACCCTGCCATGTGATGTCCGGTGGGGCTGACTCTCAGGTAAGCATCCCTGGGATGACCAGCTCGGAGGATGATGCCCCCCCCTCCAGGGAGAAAAGCAGAAATCTGCCCCCTCCACAGGGGTGGTTAATTCGGGGGCCCTCCAAATGTTGGATTGTGGGGGGGGGGGAACTGCATCTCAGGTGAGTCATTGCTGGCCGAGGATGATGAAGAATGGAGAAGCTGCTCAGAAATATTTATATTTATCATGCATTTTATTTATTTATTTCAATTTGCACCCCACTCCTGTTAGCGTCACAGCACAACACCCAATTCATCAATGCTCCAGAGAGTTGGGACCTATGCTGATTTTCTTTATATAATTTGCTGCTCCCATTTTTATCCCTGTTTTAAAGGAAGAGACCGGATCCCTCTTCCTTCTCGCTGGATTTACGGATTCGCAGACACCCGATCCTTTAAAAATAACAACAGTAGGAAAGGAAATACCGGCGAATGTGTGCCTTGTTTGCTCGTAACAAACCAGCATCACGCCGGATGTTCTTGCTCGAAGCATTCTGTTTGCGAGCGGCCTCGACAATAATTATCTTCTCTATGACATGTGGATGATGGAATGTTGGCTTCTGAAAGAAGACGCTGCATTGCTTGCAAACAGAAAACCATCACTTCAAGGGGTGTGTGTGTGTGTAATGGATCTGAGAATGTTTTCTACATCCAGGGATTTATTTTGTTGGGAGGGGGGGCTGGAAGCTGCACCCCAGAACCCGCCGTGGTCCAGGATCCGACACACACGCCGGTTCGTCACACACAACTTGGCCGAGAGGAGTGATTCTTTCGCCGTTTATTTCTTTGTCTCCAAGAAATGGGTCAGATCCAGCATCTGAGAAAAGCAACGTTTACGGAGGGTGGGTGGATCAAAGACGGCTGCGCGCGTTGCCTCGAACTTATGGAAAGAAAGAAATGTTTGTTATCGGCCATCGAGTCCCCTCGGATTTACGGCAACCGCATGAATGATTAATCTCCGTATGGTCTAAAAAGTCAAGACCCAGTGGTTTCCTTTACGGAGTCGGCATCTCGTATTATTCGGCCTTCCTCTTTTCCTGCTGTCTTCCGCCTTTCCCAGCATGTCAGCCTTTTCCAGATCATCTTTTGCTCCTTAGGGCGATTATGTCTTTCTTTATTTTAAACAAAGATTACGCCTTTCCCAGCATGTCAGCCTTTTCCAGCTCATCTTTTGCTCCTTAGGGTGACGATGTCTTTCTTTATTTTAAACAAAAAAATAAACAATGGGCCCAAAGGAGGACAAGCCTCAGTTGCCACCTTTTTGCTTCCCGAGAGAGTTTTCCGGCTTGATTTCATCTAGGACCCCTTTGTTCATTTTTTTTCTGGCACTCCAGGATATCCTTACTATAGATGTTGAGGATCATCATCTTAGGGAGCGCTGCTGTCATCTCTGGAAATGGGTGAGGCCTCAGACCGGTCAAACAGGGTGTGCTTAGGAAGGTGACCGGATTGTGACCCAGGAATTCCTATCCTTAAAATTGTATAAACACCTTTTCTGCTTTTTTTCCCCCCATTGACAGTCTTCCCGGTCTGAATCGGGATCCAGGAGAAGGACCGGGAGGAAGATGCTGCCCTTTTTCCGTAAAAGAAAACCCAGCGATGAGGCCCGCAAACGCTTTGAATATCAAATGTGCCTGGTAAGTCGGGGTGAAGAGGGGCGCCAGATCGGACGGATGCTGGTCCCATTGCTTCTCGATGGCCTCCAGGGTTGGAGCGCTCGCCACCTCCCGAGATTTATTTATTTATTTAAAATATTTCAATCCCCACCTTTTCTCCCTGAAAGGACCTAAGATCGTACGATGAGGCCCGCAAACGCTTTGAATATCAAATGTGCCTGGTAAGTCGGGGTGAAGAGGGGCGCCAGATCGGACGGATGCTGGTCCCATTGCTTCTCGATGGCCTCCAGGGTTGGAGCGCTCGCCACCTCCCGAGATTTATTTATTTATTTAAAATATTTCAATCCCCACCTTTTCTCCCTGAAAGGACCTAAGATCGTACGTTCTGTTGTCCCATTGCTTCTCGATGGCCTCCAGGGTCGGAGCGCTCACCACCTCCCGAGATCTATCTATTTAAAATATTTCGATCCCCATCTTTTCTCCCTGAAAGGACCCAAGATCGTACGTTCTGTTGTCGTACCACTCGCCACCTCCCGAGATTTATTTATTTATTTAAAATATTTCAATCCCCACCTTTTCTCCCTGAAAGGACCTAAGATCGTAGGTTCTGTTATCGTACTGCTCTAACAGTTACAAAGATTTTCCTGGGATTTAGCCGAAATCTGGCTTCCTGTCGCTTCAGCCCATGGTTATATGTCCTGAATTCTGGATTAATGGAGAACAGATCCTGCCCCATCTCTGTTGGACTCCCTTTCTTGACGAGTGTGATCCCATCTCTCTCCAGTTTTCTTTTCTCAAGGCTAAACAGACCCAGTTCCTTCCGTCTTTCCTCCGAGGGCTCAGTTTCCAGTTCCCCTGGCCTAGATGGGGTGGTTTCTAGGAACTCTTTCGCCCCTTTTCTAAAACCAATAGCCGTTTGGACATTCAGGCAGGGCATAAGATCAGGCTACATTTATATCTACTCTTTCCTAAGAGGATCTAGCGGGGGCAGCATCTCTGGGCCACACAGCGTGGTCCACAAGATGCTGTAAGACTGATTTACAAAGATACATAAGCTGGCAGATGTTTCTAGTCCTCAGTAATTTTTTTACAAAAGAAAATTAGATTCCTACGGATAGGAAATCTGTATTGATGGAGCACTGATCATTTAGAGGAATTAATATTTGGGTTTGAGATCAAACTAACTTTATCCCAGGGGAAGGGACTATCTGACTTTGAATTTTCCTCTCATTTTTTCTCTCTGTCCTTCTTTCTTCCTGTTTCTCTCCTTCAACAGGCGAAGGAGGCTGGTGCCGATGATATCCTTGATATCTCCAAGTGTGAACTTTCTGAGGTAAATCCTCTCTTAGGCCACTTCCTTGCGGGCAGCTTAAGGATGGGAAAACACATACATGGCAGTCGCCCTTGATCCACCAGTAGTAGTTCATGATCTAAAATTAATACAGAAGATCTTTTTCAGGAGCCAAAAATGTTATCCCGTTGGCTTGATCATATGACTTCCTGTTCCATCCCTCTCTCTTTCTCTGTCCCGCCATTGTTTAGTATGAATTTATTATTTATTTTATTTTATTTAAAATATTTACGTTTTTAAAAAATTACAGAAATCTTGGCGTGGGCTGGGGAACGGCAAACCAATCCGTCCATAAGACTGCCTCATTTGGATTCCCTGGAGCTGCTGAAATTCTTAGTGTTTTGTGCAAACGGCCAATTGATTTGGCTGGAAGAATTCCCTACTGGTTCCTTTTTTGTCAACTTGTACCAATCAGTCTTCGAGTTCTCTCTTTTTCTTTTTTCTTCTGCCCCTTTAGCTTCCCTACGGCGTCTTTTCAACCTGTAAAGTCCTGCAGAAGAAGGTAAGGGTTTGGAGTGTCCCTGCGGTCCCCGAAGACTGGGAGCCTCAAAACCTTTCGGGGGGAGGGAAGGGAGAATTGGACCTTTTATTTATTCCCGGGGGGGAAATTGCTGCATCTTGATGATGTCATTAGCCTTACACATTGTAACTTACTGGACTCCGGCCAGCCTTGCAGTTACCGAGCCTTTGCCAAATCAGACTCCCTGTCCCAGATTTGCAGACGTGTAGAATATCGGAGGGAGTAGCAAGATAAAAACGGAATATAGGGTTGGTTTCTGGACATGTCTTCTTAGGCAACTTGCTACATGCAACAGAAGAGAAATGCAGTTTGTTATCTTTATACACCAGTAGGATAGAAGCTTTACTTGTTTGGATGAGCCAGAATCTTTCAGCCGTAAACTGCACCGGTTGGGAGATTCTGGGAGAAATTACGGTAGCACTCCCCGAATCCATGGGAGGATCAGTTCCATCATCCCTGCCGTGGATGCTGAAAAATGCAGAGCACTATTTTAATAGCAGATGCTATCCTTAGCGTGGTCTCTGGCTCTCTCTAGTGGCCGGTTCTGGTAATGCCATTGTGGAAATCTTATTTTTCTAGCGAATCCTGTACTTGGTGTGGTCTCTGGCGCCCTCTAGTGACCCGTTCTGGTCACTTCATTGTTAAAAATACATCTTTAATGCTTTTAATATTTTCAGACCGTGGATACGTGAATCAGCAGACACTGGTCCCGCAGATAAGAGGGCCCTGCTGTATCTTTTTTTAAAAAAACCTCTCCAAGGTCTTTTATTTACCCACGAAGTGCTCTTTGTTGACATCACACGTCGTTATATATCCTGTACAATACTGGAAGTCTAGTTAAGCCACCATCGGTAACCGGAGGGCTTCCACGCCTCCTAGTGGGGTCGAAAGCAAAGAATGGGAGAAATGCAATCCTCTGGAGGTGGTTGGACAATAAAGTCCCATCGGTTCTAAGCCCTGTCCCCAGTGGTGAGGAATGCTGGGTGTTGTAGTCCAACCACATCTTGAAAGGCTGATGTAAGCCCGAATAAAGCCTTTAAGCTCTCAAGAGCCATTGTAACCACCACCTCTGGGTTGTTTCGTTGCCAGGTGCTAATTGCTCACACCAACGGCCTTTCGGCTCTCGTCCCCAAATCCTGCAGCCTCCTGAATCTCGAAACTGTGAAGGTAACATTTGGGGGAGCAAGCTTCAGCCAGCATACAGGCTAATGGGAGTTGGGGGGAGATGTGGAACATGCCCCTTTCTTGACGCCAGATGGCATCTCCCCAAATTCTTCCTGCTTGCCGGCTGGGGCCGATAGGAGTTCTTGTTCAACTCCAGTTCCCATCTGCCCCAGCCGGTTTGGCCCACGGCGAAGCGTGACAAAGGAACGGTTCAGCCTCTTCTGAAGTACCGCCGGTTCTGCACCATCACAGTAGAGTCGTGGTTCGCGGTCTTAATTCTTGGACTCTAACTCCCAGAAATCCCGGCCAGCACGGCTCGTGGGGAAGTGTTCTGGGAGTTCCAGTCCAAGGACATTTGGGGACCCACAGGTTGCGACCCATGGCTGGATGTTTGCCAAATAGAGTAGGACTTTAAAGCGTTCTCCTCTTTCTTTCCAGGTTTTAGATCTCCATGAGAACCAGCTCACCTCGCTTCCCGTTGATCTTGGTCAACTGACCTCTCTCCAGGTACTGAAAGATTGAAAGAACTGGCCCTGTTTATTAGCCTTGAGGGGAGACAAGAGAGCCCTTTTCAAATCCTTGAAAGGGAGCCCTACAGAGGAGGGACGTCTGTCTGTTTGCTCCCATGTTTCCTGGATCTGGATTTCAGTCTTGATTCAGTCCCGCTGGAGCAGCGAGCATCTCACTTCTCATTCCCTTTCCTCTCTCTCACCTCGATAGGTTCTGAATCTCGAAAAGAATCTCTTGAAGGCACTCCCAGATTCCATAGGGAACCTCATCCAGTTGCAAACCCTAAATCTGAAAGGTAGGACGAAACATTTCTGGGTGGAATGGGACTCCTTCCCAGTGAGGTGTGGAGAGGGCAGGAGGCCAGGGAGACAGGATGTAATGTACACGAAGTCCCTCTCATATCCATCGGGGATTGGTTCCAAGCCCCCAACCACACAGATGCTGGAAAATGTAGATTATAAGGAGCGCTACATGTCGTACAGCTTCTGTCTCCCTCTAATGGCCAGTTCTGGTAAGGACATTGTGAAAATACAGCTCCCTCTGGTGGCTTGTTCTGGTAAGACATATTTCCAATAAAGGTTTCTTTTAATATTTTAAATATTTTCAGACTATGGATAAATGAACCAGCAGATACTGATCCCGTGGATATATAGTAATCCTACCATAGTTATCAAAGGAGGAGATCCAGGTTCAATTCCCCCTTGAGGCTTGATCTCGGAGGGTGGCTGTGAACCCCCTCAATCCTGTTTTATAAAATTTGTGGATAGGAAGGTCGCTGGAGGAACAGCGGGATATTTTTTTAAAAAACACAACAGTTTGTGCCAATAGTAATTGCTTTGTATTTTGAGAGTTCGAGGTTCAATCCCCAGCATCTTCATTAATTTTAAAAAAAGGAATTAGTTAATGGATAATAGAAACGTCCCTCTCTGTCCGAGATCCACTGTTTATGATCCAGAAAACTGCCAAGGCTGGTTAATGCAAAATCAAAGGTGACAGGAGATAGAGGGTGTTTTCTTATAACTAATGAGGTAGATCTGTTTGGGTGAGTAGAAAAATCCAAGCAAAAATAATACTACTGTTCCCCTAAGAAGAATATCAGGGTGGTTGTTTTTTTTCCCCAGTATTTGCACTTAATGCTGCAAAGGATATTTATTCCCTTAACAAAGTTGCCTTTAAAAAAGTGGGCATCATCGGGGGGGACGTGGACATCCTTGCGTGTGTTCAGGTCTGTCTGTGTATATCTAATCGAGGCCTCAGTGTAGACGTTGGCGATGGTGCAGCCGTCCGGATTTTGTTGACGACGACTCCCATTCTCCCCCAGCCTTGGCTGTGCTGGTTAGGGATGACGGATGTTGCGATCCGGGAACATCTTGAAAGGCTCCTGTTTTCTTTCCCCTGTTCTGCGGGTGGGGGACTTCAGAGGGGAACAGATTTGCTTCCTGCCTCGATCCTTTATCGAGGATGGGGAATTTTCTTGGGAGATTTTGCAACGTCGCAGGCAGCCTGGAGGAGGCGGGGCTGGGAGGAGAGACGGGAAGTTCTGAAAGAAGGGGAAAAAATGGGAAAATGGGGGAGGATAGTTTTTTTTCTGTTAGTTTTTCTTTTCTTAAAAGCCATTTGATAGGGTTTCAGCATTTCCGGTTAATTTCACATTTCCCTCCCTGATCCATCGTTCTCTCCTGCCTCTGACTTCAAAGAAGGCCACACCGCTCTGCTTTTGAGTTTTCCCCTTTCTTTTTTCCTGCTGGAAGCAGTGAATCTGTTCGAGGCTGTTGCCCTCTCCTGCCTCTGACTTCAAAGAAGGCCCCACTGCTCTGCTTTTGAGTTTTCCCCCCTCTCTCTTTTTCCTGCTGGAAGCAGCGAATCTTTTGAGGCTGTTGTCGAAAGCCATCCTGTTCTGTCAGTTTGCTGTTGATTTGTAAGTAAAGCCATGGCTTTTTATGCTTTCACCCGCAAAGGTCTCAGAGTGAAGCTAGTCTGCTCCATGAATCCCCTTCCACTTCTGCTGCCCAGCCAGAGGAATTTAACCAAAATTTAACAAAGAGAAGGTCTATGAGAATTCCCCCAGTTTGACCATGCTAGGATCTGTGCTTCTTCTGGGGGGGCTGAAATCCAGCCCACCTGATGGTCTGCTTCCCACCTCTAACCACATCCTTTTCTTGCTGCTGGGGCTTCTCTCCTCCCCCGTTGTCCGTGTAAGCGAGGACAGCAGGAATGTGCGCTGGCACCTAGACCCCTCGCAAGTGCGTGATGGCTCGTGGTCTCTCCCGCCCCACCTTCTGCTTGCAGGCAACAAGCTGAAGGAACTCCCCACCACCGTGGGTGGCCTGCGCAGCCTGCGGACCTTAGACATCAGCGAAAACTTCGTCCGGGAGCTGCCCTTCGCTTTGGCTCACATCCGGACTCTGGAGGTAGGTCTCGGGGTTGGCAGGAGGAGACCGAGGGGATCTTCTCACAGTCCCAGACCTCCACCGAGGGTCATCCTTGGCAACCAGAGAAGGGGGGGGACGAGACGTTCCTCTCCGGAGATGATGGCTGGTACTGGGGGTGAGCTCCATCTCTGTATATCCTTGCGTGTCTCCAGACGCTGACCCTGGATGCCTCCTCCATGACATACCCACCGAGCAAGGTCTGCAACGCCGGGACAGAAGCCATCCAGAGGTTTCTGTGCGAAGGTGAGCCGCAGGAGAACCCCTGGTGCCCCCCGGTGGCAGGCCAAGAACTGGTGGGTCTCTTCCAGAATCACGACCCGCCCCTTGCGCCGTGCTGGCTGTGGGTCCCAAGCCCTTCCCCCCCCAAAAAAAATTCAGGATGGTTTTGAATTTGACGCCTTCCTGCCTGGTTTTCTCCTAGAGGTGGGCATCGAGTACAACCCTCCCTCCCAGTACCTGCTCCCGGTCTTAGAGAGCGACGGAGGGGAGACGTCGGTGGACGGGGCAGACAAGACGCTGCAGAAGTATGCGGAGAACGAGGCCCAGTGGCAGGTGAGCGGCCGGGAGGCGTTGGCCTTCCCTCGAGGGGCACGGAGGCGCCTCGGGACCCTCGAGGGGGCGAGCAAAAGGGGAAGGATTTCCCGCGGGGCATCTGGCGGAATGCCAGGGCACCCAGAATCCTGCTCCAGATGGGGCTTTGGGTTGGATCCGGCGCAGTTGTCCTGCCGCGCATGTCCCTTGCAAATCCCGGGACGCCGTTCCCGTGACAGGCTGCTGGGAGCCTGCGCCGTCCCAGTGGTTTGGCTTTCGGCCAGCAGACAGGAGCCCAGGGCTGGGGGCAGGGGGGTGACCCCTGGGGTGGAACACGGGTGGTGGTGGTTGGCAGGCTTTCACTAGGACCCCCCGCGGAAATGCCTTTCCCAGTCCACTTACGTACGTGTGACCTTCCCTCGTTTTATTTTCCTTGCAGAACAAATTTCTGGATTACGAGAAGCGGAAGGTAAGAACTCTGCTTTCGTTTGCCTCCTTTTGGGGGTCAGACTGGTAGTGTTCACTATTATCCGCGGTTTTTGGCATCCACGGTAGGTTTTGGAACCTATCCTCTACAGTTAGGACAGTCCTATATGTATATGTTCCTGAATACATGGAACTTATAATTTCAAAAAAAATCATTGCCCAGTGAGGCAAGAACGGAGATTCGCTCTCTAGAGTGGTGTGTTGATGCCGCTCTCGTGCTGGCCTTTCAGGAGCAGAAGATGCAAGAGAAACTGGAATTTGAGCGCTGGCTGGACCAGGAGCAGAGGGAGCAGGCCCAGCTGATGCACCAGAGCCATGCGCAGAAAGAGGAGATCCTGGAGAGCATGAAGGAGGTAAAAATGCTTTCCGAACGGGGACGTTTTTTCCCCTCCAACGTCTCGCCAACACTTCCGGCCTTCTGGGAATCGCTCAGCGGCTCTCTCTGAGGGTCAGGCTGGCTGGGAGGAGAGAGGGGGGATTCCCGCAGACTGACCCGGGTTTTTCCCCGATTCCCAGGAGCAGGTGCGGCTGGAGCAGGGCCTGACACGCCACCAGCAACGCCTGGGCGAGGAGCGGGTGAAGCTGCTGGAGCAGGTGAAGGAGATGGAGCGCGGCGTCACCAGCCGGATCCAGAAGCTGCTGGAGGAGAATCAGAGGTCAGGCCGCCCGCTTACGGTCCCCTTCGAGCAATCGCGCGGAAAAGAAATATATCCCTTTGCAAATGTCCAGAATTCCAGAGGCTTCGTAAAAAAAAAAATCGTTTGGCATTAAAAGAACATTGAAAATTTTCTAATGACCTTAAAATTTCCAAAGTTTCAGGTCCTTCATTTAAAAAAATGGCATTAAAAGACCATTGAAAATCGCGTATCTGGCTACAAAGCCACTCTGGGCGGTTCGCGGCACGATTCAAAACAACCAATAACACTTTAAATAAATTCACAACCTAACAGTAGAAAGATCAAGTAAAACGTACCAATCCGCTTGAACCAGAAAAGAGAAGCGAGGAGGAAGACAACGTAGAAACAATGAAAGGCGACACCATCCTCTCCTCTCAATCTCTGATTTGTGTGTTTTCAGGCAGAAGCAGAGTTCGGAGTTCCTTAAATCGCTCGAGAACGACAGGTGAGTTACCTGGGGATCTCCGAGGGGGGGAGGAAGGCTTTGGTTCGAGGTGGGCCTGCCCCCCCCCGCCCGGCTTTCCTGGTGCAAGGATCCTGGCTCTCTAGTCTGACCCAGATGCTCGAATCAGCCCCACTGGGGGATAAATCCAGCTGTTCACAGTTTTGGAGTCTTTCTGGGGCCCAAACCAACCAGCAGGCCTGGAGCAGAAACCGCCGTCCAGTCTGACATCCTCAGTGGTTTCCAGATGTTCATGGACTGCAACTCCCATAGACCCTGGTCCCAGCCACAGCGGGTGGTGAAGGCTTCTGGGAGTTTTAGTCCAAGAACATCTGGGGGGCCCAGTTCGAGAACCCCTAGTTTCAAGTGTTGTACCAGCCCACCTTTTCTTCATCGCAGCACCTTCCAGAAGACTGATCTTTCCGTGAAGGGTGTGGGAGGCCAACCTAGGAGAGCACCATCATCTGCAGAGGAGGATGGGAGTCATAGTCTTAACGGGAAGGGGCTTCCTCCATGCGTTGTCCTGTAGGACCGCAACGCCCTTAGATCCTCCATGTAGAAGGGCAGTCTACCTCCTGGATGCCACACGCCAGAGACAGAAAGAGGAGATCATGGCTTGGATACCCCCGTCCTTCAGCTTCCCCGGGGATTCTCCCTCTGGGGACAGAACGCCGGGTTTAGCCACCCTCTCTGCCCTGATTTAGGAACGAAGAGAGCGGGAAGGCGATGGGGCGGCTCCCGCTTTGGGCTCGGAAGTTCAGGGCAGGAGGCAGAGGGGTTGATCCTCTCTCTGTGTTTCCAGGATCCGGATGGAGCAGCTCATGGCTATCACGCAGGAGGAGGCTCAGCAGCTACGTCGGAAGGAAGTGGCTGGTGAGTTTCCCCCGCCGTGCGTCCCCCTCGGACCGGGTGCAAGAATCCCTCCGGGGCTCCGGAGAGATGTTATTGCCCCCTTTTTCTAAACACTTCCCCCCACTCTTTGCCGTAACAAGACGCGACACCTCTCATTCCGGGTGCGAGCCATCCAGAAGCACCCTTTCGTCAGACACTTCCTCCATTCCCCCCCCCATCCCTCCACATCCCTCCGTATGTTTCCATGAGCGCAGCGGCTCCCAGCCTTGCATCGCCGGATGTTCTCGGACTACCACTCCCATAAATCCTGGCCAGCGCAGCTAGCGGTGAAGGCTTCTGGGAGTTGTAGTCCAAGGACACCTGGGGACACAAGCTTGGCAGCCGCGTGCACAAACCGAAGAAGCTTTGCACAGCGTCTGGGACGTGATGGTGTTTCTGCCACCCGTTAAGGGGCGTCCCCTAAAGAACTACCTAAAGACGCTCTTGGCGCTTTCCTGCTTTCAGGCTGAGCTGCCGCTGAGGCTCAAGAGTTCCCTTCCTGCCCCAGAAGGGAAGGCTTCTGGGAGTTGTAGTCCAAGGACACCCGGGGACACAAGCTTGGCAGCCACGTGCACTTACCGAAGAAGCTTCGCACGGCGTCTGGGACGTGATGGTGTTTTCGCCACCCGTTAAGGGGCGTCCCTTAAAGAACTACCTAAAGACGCTCTCGGCGCTTTCCTGCTCCCAGGCTGAGCTGCTGCTGAGGCTCAAGAGTTGCTTCTGGGAGTTGTAGTCCAAGGACACCCGGGGACACAAGCTTGGCAGCCACGTGCACTTACCGAAGAAGCTTCGCACGGCGTCTGGGACGTGATGGTGTTTTCGCCACCCGTTAAGGGGCGTCCCTTAAAGAACTACCTAAAGACGCTCTCGGCGCTTTCCTGCTCCCAGGCTGAGCTGCTGCTGAGGCTCAAGAGTTCCCTTCCTGCCCTTTTCCCCCTCCTCGGGGCCTCCGTGGATTTGACACGCAAGAGACCCCATCTTTTCCCCTTGAAATGTGGACATCATGGGTCCATGGGTCCATTGCTGGTGCTTTTCAAAGAGGGCCGTCTGAGGCCAAATGCGAGCAAGGAACATGGAGGGGACGGGGTTTTTTTAAACATCAAACCCCTTGCCCCAGAGACTTTTCCCAGCACACCCTGCGGATTTCCACCCGGTCTTTCAGGCACGGATGAGACCACGTGGGCTTGGCCAGACTCAAAAGCTTGGTTAACGAAAGTCAAGCAAAAGGCGGTTTCTGGCTTTCTCTCCCTGGTGCTGCATCTCGATGCAACGTCATCTTCCGGTTCTTCCTTCGATGGCCGATTCCGCAACGTCCGTGATCCGCTTCTTCAAGAGAGAGCGGCTTTCTTCAGAAGCTCGGAAAACAGCACAGGAAGGGGAAACAATGGGGTTTTGGCTGAGAAAATGTGCAACTCTCCCTCTTTCCCCAGCGGCCATGCAGCAGATGCTCTCGGAGACGTACAAGAACAAGCTCCTCCAGGTGGCTTACGAGTCGCGCCGGCAAGATTTGGTGAACCAGACTTACTCCAGGTACTTCCAAAGAGGGACTGAACTTCGTCTTTGGTTTTCATTTCTGTATTAGTTGCATTCTTTAAAAAAAAAAAATAAAACCTGCCAAGGACCTCTGGATGAAAATACATCCGTACATTTAGATTCACAGAGTTATAGAATCATGGAGTTGGAAATGGCTTCCGTTGTCGTACTGCTCTATTCTGGGATAATCGAGGACAAATCCTGCCCCTCCTCTGGAGGACCACCTTACAAGGAGCTACGGAGCCAGAGGGTTGGGAGTTCGATTCCCGCCATGGGGCCTCCTTGCCAGAGGCTGGACTCCAATGATCTTATAGGGTCCCTTCCAGCTCTGCCGTTCTAAGTGGAGGATGATAACTCGCCTTGGCAGTCCAAGAGCCGACCATTCTAATCCGCACGACATTTCTCTTTCAGCCTCGCCAAGATGGACGAGAAGTTCCAGCAGGTTCTGGCCTGGCAACAGATGGATCAGAACAAGGCCATCAGCCAGATCTTGCAGGAGGTATGGACCGCATCTGGGCAAGGCTGGTGTCGGACATGGTGGGTAATTAACAGGTGGGACACCCCAGATGGTGAACCAAAGCCAAGCATCAGAGAAAAACATGGTCGGCCCGAGTAGACCAGTGGTGGATTCTTCCTCGCTCAGTGATTATGGGGAGGAAACTGTTGCTTCGTGGTAGTTAGGGACCCAGAGAATTCAGCATCTTCTCTAAAAAAGATGGAAAAGATGGTGGAGAATTGGTTCTTTTGCTAACAGTTATGAGTGAGAGTAAGCAAGACCAGCCAAAATTCTATTAGTTACACCCACCGGGGTGAACACCGTTGGCGCTGATCTTGGTAGCAAACTGCGACTCGTTCAGAAACCAGGGTTGGCATTTGCTGGTGCCACTTGGCGTAAAGGCCAACACTGGCCACTTAACCTGCAGCCGTTTGCCGCTGAGATTTATGCCGACGGATAGAGCGCAACAGCGCTACACAGTATTGCCCCCTGTACGAGATGTGCCCTCCGGTTTGGGCTTCATATACGCGTCTTTGCTCTCCGTCTTCCAGAACGAGATGCAGAAAGCCGCCTTCGAAGCCCTCCAGGTGAAGAGGGACCTCATGCACTGCCAGATCAGAAACCAGGTGGGTGGAAGGAGCGGGCGTCTCCCGGAGGGAAGATGTGGTCGCTCGGCCTGGTGGTGGTGGGGAGGCCACCGCAAGCTGAATCCACTCCTCCGTTCCCTCGCCTGGGGAGGTTCCATTGTACATCCATCTCATGGCAGAACCATCAAAACACCGGCTCCATCATGATTACGACGGTTGTGTTCTCATTGTTTTGTTTTTTCCCGTTCGCTTCTCTCTCACTGGCTGCTTCTTCCGATCCATCTCTGTTGACAGGAAGCAAATCTATTACTTAACAAGCGTGGGGGGCAGGGGGAGACCCAGCCTGCAGGTTCGGGCAGTCAGAGGCTCGGAGCGCTCAAGTTCTCTTACTCCAACCCGTAACTCTTGGCTTAGGGGGACAGCTCGACTTTCTGTCTCGTGCTTGAGGGAGAGGGTTGACTTTCCTTTGTTTCATGTGCAACAAGCTTCTCAGGAAGCGTCTGCATCCCAGATGCTTGGGGATCCCATCTTCCGTCTGGTGCCTTTCCACAAGCATCCCGGATTTGGAGGTTCTGCCCTTCTCATCTTCAAACCGTCCAAGATGCTTGGGGGCTCGCGGCTTACACCTGGTCCCTCCCTGAATCGTCCTGACCCCCTCGGGCTTCACAACGGAGCTCTCGCCAAGCAGCCGCCCTTTCTCTGTCGTCGGCAAGGAACCTGTCACGTTTTTAAATCCCACATTGACCTAAATCTCAGTGGAGAGTCCCCGTTAAGTTGAGAGAAGTCGGCGTACGGATCTGCTGCGGCCCCTCCAGCACGCCGGGGCAAAAATGTCTGCAGCGACGCCTCGTCTTGGTGGCTCGCCATTGAGATTTACGCCAACGGACCTCCGGCGGATCCTCCTTAGCAGAACGGAAGGGAAGCGGGATTGTGTCCCGCTAGGATGAGGACTCGTCAGAGGTCAGGAAGAAGAGAGATCTCCACCCACAGCAGCAGGGAAGAGGGACCCTCTTTTCGAGTCCTGTTCGGACCGTCTGCAGGGGGCAAAGAGGGGGTCCCGTTGGGCCGCGAGGAGGGACCCCCCCCAGACCCACCTGACTCTTGGCTCGGCTCCCGGCGCGCCAAGGAAGTTTTGCTAAAACCCTCCCAGAGCTTTGATTAGGGCTACAATAGTAGTAGAAAGCCACGTCCGTGCCGGTGCGAGAGAAGCTCACCCACCCACCAGACCCTCCCCGCTTGTCTCGTCTTTTGCCTAGATTAAGTTAATAGAGAGAGAGTTACTGCATCTCACCCAGCTGGAGATAAAGAGGCAACAGGTGGACACGGAGGCGTTGCAGGTACGTCGCCCCCTTCCCGACCCACGCCGCTCGCTTGCGCCCGGCCGGGGCTCTCCTTTCCTGCTTTGGCAACCTCTCGGGTGGCTTGGCGCTGAGTTTCGGAGTCCGAGCGGCAGGAGGAGGTCTTCCCGGCTCCCGTCCCCTGGAACTGGCAGGTCTCTCTGAAATGGCCGCCGTGCCGTTCCGGGAAGGACCTGCTTCTGGGTTCTGAGTCCGGGGATGAAGAAACCAAGTCCTGATGAGCCTTTTATGCTTCTTTCCATTATTATTATTATTTGGCTGATTTTGCTTCAGGATCCTTTGCCCCACGCATACCCCCTTTCCCAAATATCCACCAGCATTACAAAAAGCATGTGCTTCATCTCCACTTTGGCATCCAAAGATTTGCTCAGCATTTTACGCTCACTGCCTCAGTTTCTCAACGGGAGGCTGCTTGGGGAATGTGGCTCTTCCTTGTTCAAATCCCGGGGTGATGATCGGAACGGTTGTGTTCCGTCCAAGTGGCTTAAGCTCCAGGCTAGCCTCAAACGGAAAGTCTTTGCTGGAAACCGAGGAGCATTTGAGGAGGCGGCTAAAACTTCTCGATGGTTAGAGCGGTACCACAACGGTACCCATGACCTCAAGGGGAGGGGGTGAACACTCCAAAGCTGGAGGCCATCAAGAGAAAACTGGCCAGCCCTCTGTCCAATCAGCTTGGATTGGGATTCATGTTATGATCAGCGGGGTCAGGCTGGATGGCCTTATGGGTCCCTTTCGGTTCCATGATCCTCCGATTCCAAATGCCCATTGAACTGGCCTGATTTCGGGGCCACAGGAGGAGAAAAGGGAGAGATTGGGAGGGAGGATACCAAGGAACGTCAGGGCCTGGCGTAAATTCTCGTGCGATGCTGGGTTTTCAGGAGGCGATAGCAGAGCAACGGCGGGCCCTCAGCTACCTGTTGCAGCAGCTGCTGAAGGAGAAGAAGCAACGGGAGGAAGAACTGCTGGAGATCCTGGTAAGAGGGCCGGATTCTGCTCCTCTGTGAGATTGGGCTGCCTAGAGATGGGAGGAAACCTGGGGCCTAGAGGAGCTCGCTGTGCTTGGACGTGGCTTTTCAGACTATAGATCCCATAATCCCCCCACCCAGTAGAGGTAGTGGATTCTGAAACATGGGGTCCAGGAAACAAAAATGTCCAGTTTCTGGGCTGCATGGGCAAAAGTAGAGTCTCCAGATCCCCTGAGGTACTAGTCCCCCCTCTCCTCATCTAAGAGTACAGTGTCCAGTTGAGTTTTGTAAAAAAAAATCACATTGCTAATACGGAGAAATAAAGTCAATGGTCTGTTCCTTAAGCATGGTTGGGGGTCGGCCATCCTCTTGAGTTCTGTGTCCAGTTCTGGACTCCGCTCTTCAAAGAAGATGCCAGAAAACTCGAGCAAGTTCAACGGAGGGAGACAAGGAGGATCAGGAAACCAAGCCCTCGGAGGAAAGACGGAAAGAACTGGGCAGGTTTAGCCTGGAGAAAAGAAGCCCGAGGGGAGATAAGAGAGCCCTTTTCAAATTCTTGTAAGGGGGTCCTACAAAGGAGAGGCAGGATCTGTTCTTGATTTTCTCAGATTTCCGCTAAATAGCGGGGAAAAATGTCCTGACTGTTAAAGCAGTACGACAAAAGGAGCCTGTGAGTTTGGGAGGTGTGGTGAGGGCTTCAGAGCCAGAGACCTTCGAGAGAACACTGGACGACTGTCTCTCTGAACTGCTTGGACGGGGATCCCTGCCTTGAGCAGGGGGTTGGACCCGATGGCCTTAGAGCGACTCGGTTATTCTAGGATTCCTCTAGGCTTCCCGGCCGCGCTCGGCTTCCAGAGTTGGACCACTGGAGGAAAAGTCCAGATAAATCTAAGCTTGGGGCTGCTATCACACCAGGCGGTTCTCCTGCCCATTTCCACACCTGCCTTGACCCCTAAATTCAGGGAGGTTATGAAGAACGAGCTGAACATCAGGAGCTGAAAATCCACACGTGTTCATTGTCTTTTTCTTTTTGCTTTGTAGAGGGAACTGGAAGCCAAGAGTGAGACCAAGCAGGAGAACTATTGGCTAATCCAATACCAACGGCTTTTGAATCAGAAGCCTCTATCGCTTCGGTTGCAGGTGACCAGTTAGGAGTATCCGAAACAGACCTCTGGGGAGCTCAGAGAAGCTCCCTGGCCTGGGATTCATCCCAAAGGCAGAGGGAGGGTTCCATTCAATCCTATCGAATGCCTTTTTCTGCCATGTGGTTGCTGAAGCGGCGCGGCTGACCTCCTCTGCTGCTTTCTCTTTCTTTGCCAGGAGGAAGGGCTGGAGCAGCAGCTGGTAAAATTGCTGACGGAGCTGTCAGCCAATCAGTACCTCCCCATTTTCGCTCATCACCGGATCTCACTCGAAATGCTCAGTTCCATGACCCCCAGCGAGTTGGCAAAGGTATAAGGCAGTGGACGGTGGGCTTTGTCCCCTGCTCGTGGGGTTTGGTGGGCTCAAAGATCGCCCTTCCTAACACTTGGCGCTCTCTTCCAGATCGGAATAGCTGAAACCGGCCTGCAACACGCAATCCTCCGGAAGGCCCGGGAAATCCACGCTGTCGCTCAGACCATACCAGGTAACCTTTCCTTTCGGGCCTCCCCGCCTTCTTTCTTTCGCCTAGAAATCTGCTTTAAGGGGACTCCGGCCATTGGACCATGGAGCCGGTCTCCTCCCGCCTAGCGCCTCCCACACACTACAATTCCCATCAGGTTGGAGGGAGCTTGAACCCCAGCCGTCTACCTCCATGAACGGGAGCGAGTGCGTTGCTCTCCCTTCTCGGGCTGAGCCCCCTGTCCTTCTGAGGTCCTCCTCCTCCTCCGTCCACAACCTCTCCATCCTCCCATCCGGTTTGTTTTCAGAACTGTTGAAGCCCACGGAAGAGGCCGAGCCGTCCAGCAAAGAGCCCCCCCAGGCCGAAGCCCCCTCGGCCCCGCCGCTGGAAGAGCAGCTTTACGAGTGTGTGGTCTGCATGGAGCTCCAGGTGGGTCCTCAGAGCTGGGTTCAAGGGCCTCTTCTGCTGGGTAGGGAGGGGGCAAGAGGGGCCCCTAGAGGATCATGGTCATTCTCCCCCCCCATGGGCTTCAGCATAGGAGTGGGTTCACATAACATCTCACCCTGCCGCCCCTTCTCTGCAGAAGAAAGCCAGTCAGCAGATCCCTTTCTCCAGGCAGAAGTTTTCCTATGCAGATTGCTTAGTTCCCTCCCTAAGGACTAGCAGCTTGCAGCCGTTTTTAATGACACGTTCAAGCCCTGGTTGCTGAAGTCTGTGGGTGGGACGGGCATGCGAAGAACGGCTTGGGCCGTAGAAAGAGCGTCCGGCTAACGTCCGTCTGTGTCCCGTCTCTCTCTCCTCTTCTTCCCCCAGGCTCAGGTGGTCTTTCTGAATTGCGGCCACGTCTGCTGCTGCCAGACTTGCTCCGACGCGCTCAGCACCTGCCCGCTGTGCCGGAAGGACATCGTCCACCGGATTCGCCTTTACCACAGCGGGTAGCCGGGGGACGAAGCAGCCGCCCTTCCCGGGGAGGGCTTGACGCCCCCCCCGCCTGGAGTTTTATTTTTGCACTACCTCCTTAATCGTTTGTCCGTCTTCCCGTTTTGTTGCGTGCTCGTCCGGCATTGCCGCTCTGCATCTTCCTTTCCCCCCTGGAGACCAATGGGAGTCCATGGGCTGCCTCCTGCCGCCGGCATCTCCCGCTTAAAGCCAAGGTGTGCGTCCGTGTGCCCGGAAGGACGAGGACTTGGGCTGAAGGGTCGGGAGGAAAAAGCTCTCTGAATCGCTAAAGACGGCCATACATTTCGGGGGAATCCCCAGAGAATCATTCTGTCACAAGGTTTTAGAATAAATGCGCAAGCAAACCCCCAGCCTCTTGGCTGGAAAGGCTCTCTCTCTCTCTCTCTCTGCTGGCTCCGGAGGTTCCTGCAACCTCTCGTTCAAACCCATTGGAGGAAGCGCTGCAAGGCGCGGTTCTGCGCCCGAGAGAGAGGAATTGGGGCCAAAGTGACGGCTTAGCCCCCAACCCCTTCTCCCCGACCAAACGCTGGAATCTGGGTGGGGAAGGCAAAGTCAAAGCCTGACTGGTCGAAGGCCGGCCCGCCACCCCCAGGTATAGTCTAGGTATGCCCAGGGACGCATGGTTAATAGCCTCTCTTGGTTAATTAGTCAGTAATTGGCCTTTTATGCTGCCAAGCCAGACACCTTCCTTCGGGGGCGTGTGAGTCAGCCGGCGACTGTTCAGGCCTGGCAGATTTATGGCTCGAAAAGAGTCAACAGGAGCAAAGACCAGCCCTGGTGGAGGGATGCTCAGCCTCCGCCTTGAGCAAAGCCGTCCTCGAGATGGTCAACATTGGCGTGCCTTCTGGGGGTTTTCTCGGGCCTGGGCGGCCCCCCGGGGGTGACCACCGCCCGGCTCCCCTACGCCTACCCTCCCCTTGGCCAAAAATAATCAAATTTGGCCACACCGGGGCCACCCTTTTCTCAGTTCAAGCTCTGTGAATCGCGGAACGTTATCGGCTGCTGTTAGTCTGAGATCTGTTAGCCCCACAAGGTATTTTTCGATGCTTCACTCCCTCCCCCCTTCCTCCCCAGGCTGTAGGTGTCCTTTCAAGGGCCTGCAGAAGTGCTGGATTCGAATCCCTTGCCCCCCCGCACCCTGACGGCCAAATGCTTTTGCTGTAGCCATCGCTCGCTCGTGCCAAGCACGACACATCTCATAGGACGGTCTTGTGTGTCCCCCCACTGCCGCCGCCCTTCCTATATCCCGAAACTGAGGACGTTTTAATTCTGCACTATCTGAGGAGTGGGAGTTGTAGTTTTCCAGGAGGTGCAGAGAAGTCCCTGATCTTGCCTATCTGGAAACTACAATTCCCAAGTTCCACGAGGAAGAAAGGAGGCCAGGCGAGTTGAGCCCAATCCAGGCCTTTACAATGTCTCCTGCTCCTCACAGCTTCGCCCTGGCCCCCAGGGGGTTCCGTGACGGGGGAAGCAGGCTGCCCCTTTTAAGCCTCACCGAGTAGCAGAAGCTCGTTCGTCGGGAGCAGCAATACTGCTGTCACGTCCCTGCATGAATATCTCATTTTCCGCTCTGATGTTGTCTCCTGTATTCTGCAGAGAAATAAAACTGGATACCACACTTGGTCCCGGCCTCCCCGCGTGGTCCTTTGAGAGAACCCCAAAATTAGTGGTTCACCCCGTTTCTCTGCAAGCGGTATCAACAGCGCTACAGCAAGGCCACCATCAGCTTCATCAGAGAGCTGGTGCCCAATTTAAGTCGTGCCCCCCGATTTCCCACTGGGGGAAGATGGGAAATGATGCCCTTCGTGGTGGCAATTTCGGGTTGGAGCATCTACAGCAGGAAAAAACCCGTATCCGCTGATTCGCTTATCCACGGTCTGCAAATACTGTATTAAAAAATAAAAATCCTAGAAATATCTACAGCATTTCCAATGATGACATTTCCAGAACTGGCCACGAGAGGGAGCCAGAGATGAGCCTATGTGTAGCGTTTGCTATTATCTGTGTTTTCCAGCATCCACAGATTGGGGTGGGGGCTTGGTACCGATCCCCTGCGGATACACATGAGTGCCTTTCTACCCTTCCCAGCCAAGAGCAGGAATCCGGCAGATGTTGCCCCCTTGATGGGTTTTTCTCGCTCGCTCACTGGAGTGAATAAATGGGTGGCCAACCTAAGAGAACACGTTCTCTTTTTTAAAAAAAATTTACTCAGTGAGGAGAGGAAACTTCCCACTCTGGAATATCTGATACAGCACACTTGGGTGGGCTCTGAAATGTTCCCGGGGAAGCAAGGAGTGGAACTGCTAAGATCCAGCAGTACGGCACACCACAACATTTTGTTGTAGTCTTCCTCCATTGAATTACCGGAAAGTCTATCCTGGGCTTGAAATAAGGGGAGGATAAGAAATAAATGAAAATAAATAAAAAACATGGAAGCTCAGAGCAAAAAAGAAGGAAGAAGCTGCTTCCAGTCCTCTGAAGCGCCAGAGGGTGACGTGCCAGGCTTCGAAAGCGACCTCGAGGGTCAAGAAATGGGAGTTGTCCAACCATGTCCTCGATCAGCGAGAGGCCTGCCTCTATCGTGAGCTTTTATAACATCTTCCAGCTTCGAGCTTAGCCCATCTCGGTTGTGGTGGGAGCACACCGTAAACAAAGGGAGGAAAAAAAATGAGTTTCTGGTTAACGAGTCATCAATTAAGGATGAAAGTTCAGCCTCGGGGAGGGCTCGGAAGTGGAGGTCCACCTTCCTTGGCCGGCCAGCAACCGTCAACCAACAGAGACTGGGCACCCTTTATTTAGCCCCGAGCGGGATGCCTCCGAAGGCCCTTCCTTTCGGGAGGGCACCCAGCGATCGCCGAACCTTCTCGGCTTCTTCCGCCCCAGAACCATCCCATCCGAAAGGAGCGGTGGCATATTTGAAGCCTCGGGAGGGCTGTTCTCCCCTCGCACGGAGACCAAAAGCATCTTCTCGGTGTGGACGAGATTGGTGCTTTTTGCACGGGCACAATCGAGGCTGGACACACGGGTGACGAACGGTGTCCGTGCTCAGAGCTCCCCGAAGGCACCCACTGCTCGTTGGGTTCTCAGAGACGGCAAGCCCCCCCGGAATGTCTTCTCCAGATCATGTTTTCCAGGCCCAAAGCCCACAAGGAACCGTGGCGTCGCCGCCCCTCGGCACCACCGCCGATGCCCGGCCCAACGGGCACACCGCCGAATGCCCCATCTGCTACGAGGTCTACAGGGAGGCGGCCAGCCTCCAGGCGCCCAAGCGTTTACGGTGCTTCCACTCCGTCTGCCTGACCTGCCTAAGGAAACTGGCCTGCCAGGACCGAGCGTTCCCCTTCGTGGTGTGTCCGTTCTGCCGGACGGTGACCGCCGTGCCAGACGGAGGCCTGCAGGCGCTGGAGGACGACCAAGTCCTGCTGGGGCAGGTGGCTCCTGCTCCGGGGGCGGTGAGGCTGAGCGTGGAGGCCGAGGAGGATCCCGGAGACGGGAAGGGCCCCCAAGGGACCTCCCGGTGGCCCCCCGGCCGCTCAGCCCGGCCTCTGGACTCGAACTATCAAGGCCCGAACTCCTCCATCTTCACCGTCAGCGGCTTTGTTCCCGAATATTCACGGCTGCTGCGTTCCGTGATGGGCATCTGGGGCATGCTCCACCTGCAAGAGGTGAGGGCCGCGGTGGTAGTGGAGGTCCCCAGCCGGGACGGGCCGACCCCCAAGTCCGTGGAAAACCTGCGGCTCGGCTTCGCCGTCGCCCTCATTCTCCTCACCGTCTCCGTTTTCTTCACGCTGGTCTTCCTCAAGTAGATCGGACGCGGGAGGGGAAGATCCGGAGAAGCCTTACATCGGGATGGCGCGAGACGGGGTGTGTACGCCGATTCCTAACTCCTGTTTGTTTTAACAATAATTTAAAAAGGAGCCCTGACAGCTTTCTTCCTTGAACATTTAATTCTGACTCCTAAGATGAAAGAAACGGGGGGGGGGGGTGTTGAGACTACGTGTGGACGTCTCGTCCTGGAAAGGACCCTGAACCCGATCTGGATGAAAGGAGTCTTGGACTGAATAATTCATGCCACGTGCCTGTATTTGAGGAAAACGGTGACACATTTGCGTTCCAGGAACAGCAAAAAAAGACCTCGCTGGATTGCAGCAAACTCAGTTCTTCTTGCAAACTCACAGCGGTGGCTTCTTTACTGAGTCCATCTCTCTCCCGTTTGGTCTTCCTCTTTTCCTGCCGCCTCCCACTTTTCTCAGCATTATTATTATTTTTTCAAATTACAGTCTTGTCTTCTCGTGATTATGTCCAAAGTATGATGCTGTCGCTTTTTCCTTCTGGGGAAGAGTTCAGGACCAAATCCGTGGGGGGGGGGAAAGGGGGCTCAAACTCATGGTAAATATGGACATGAATGTATCGCTGTGCGCTTCTCACGTCTACCCCATTTTTGCTCGTGGGGAAGGCGTGTGCCCGTCTGTCGCCTGCACAAACCGCAATTTGTCATTCTGGCCTCTGCCACGCTGGGACTTCTGCCCCGTTAAAAGATACGCTTCTTTAACGTGAAACCGAGGACTTCAGAAATAAAAAGCTTTTAATGATGAAGGATCAGAGAGCGCTTGACTTCCTTTTGGAATCATTTTGTAGACGGCAAAGATTTTAGAATCCAGGCCACCTAACCGTAAGGGCAATAATTAAGCCAAAGAAGAAGAAGAAGAAAGAACATTCTTAGAAGCCTCCCTGGGAGCGAAACCACCAGCATTTGCTTTCTTTTCCCAGAATGGGAGAGCCAGTCCTGGGCTTGGCTCTAAACACACCCCGTTTTATCTAAAATAGCCTTCCAATGTACTCTATGCGGTTGCGACATCTGTACACGGGTTTTCTGTCTCGTAGTGCAAGGAGGACGATGTGGTTTTCCCCTCCTCTCCCAGCAGTTTCACAACACCTCTGTGAGGTAGGCCACCTGGCCAGCTTCGTTGCCGGGAAGGGATATAAACTCACGAAAGGGACGGGACCCTGTATCTCCCCTGCCTTAGCGTGGACACAAATAACTACACCTCACTAACCTGCGTCCTCATCCAAAGCGCCGTCTTGACGTAACTTATCCTGTTAATCTAAGATGCCGTCCAAGTTCTCCCTCAGAAAACAAACGCAGGAAGGGGAAAAAAGCTGCAACGTGAGCACTCCCTTAAAAGAAAAAAAGTGGGGGGAAAATATTCAATTTAGTTCTCCAAAGGAGTCTCGAGAGGTTTAACAAGTAAAAACATTCATCAGCTTTCTAGCACAGCTAGAAAGTAATTAATATTCATCATTACTCATTAATCCTGTTTAAACTGTAATTTCCTGCCACTACCTATCACAAGAATGTTACTGTTTTAAGGCCACTAGTTCCTTTTCATCGCTGGGGGGAAAGATCGGGACTGGCAAGCCGAGAGTGTCGACGCTGACTAAATGAAAACTAAATCACTTTTAAAATTAACTTTTCGAAGGAACCAGAAACAATCGCTCGTTCTACCAGCCGAGGTGATGCTCACCCCAGTTCTACTAGAATCCAATTTTGCTATAACTTAGTCGTCGGTGTTAGTTATAACTCATTACCTCTAAACTTAGTCACAAGTTATCGGGAGAAAGGCGGCCTATAAATAAAGCAATGAAATAAATAGACGGTAACGACTGGTAAATTACTAGATCTTATGAAAGCTTATTCGGCAGTTTGGAGGAATTAACGGGACTGGTCAACCTTGAAGGGCTGGTTGAGCCAGTCCTGTGCTAAATAAATACCTGCAGAGGATTTTAAAGATTCGAAACACAATGCAAAGCGGAAAGATTTTTGCGAGCGTACGCCTAACGCATAGGCACCTATAGACAGCCACGATGTTCATAAAAGATTCCGGGCAAAACCAGATTTAAATTACTTTAATTGCACTTTTATTGCCCAGGACATCAATGAAATCAGTTTCCCGATTCTGTCGAGGCTGGAAAAGGAGACAAACCAGGCTGGGTTTTGTGAAGTTCCACACCCAGAAACCTTTCTAGGCATTTTGTGCCTGGAAGCCGAAGGAATTCTAAGCCTCGCAAAGGACGTAGAGTCCTCTCTGCATATTTTATTTCCCGCTACAGACAATCCTTTCGAGAACCCATTTGACGATAGGCTAGATTTTCTGGTCGTGAAGCCCCTCTCTAAAGCTAGTTAAAATGATACCTGGCCAGGGAGAGGTGGGCTTCGTTGTCCCGTCAACCTGAGAATCAGCTAGTGCTGTGGTGAAAATGTAATTCATTTATTTATTTCCCCACCTACTCTGCAGTCTCGTCAACCGTCTCCTCCCCACCTCTGTTCTGAATGCAAAAGGCGCATATTATGGCTCTTGATGCGAAACTATTTCCTGGGTGTGGAAACATCTGGGGACCTATGGTAGGGATTCACCACCCGAAACAATATTCTGGGTGCAATTCAGAGATGGGGTATACTTCAGAGATTCACTAGAGGAGCCCTCGGCCGCCCTTGTCCAGAGAGGCTCTGCTACCAGGCTGGAACAAGGAACAGATCCGTGGGCCAAGATCGTACGGGAAAAGCTAAGTTCGCCCAGGGTGTCGTTTAAAATTTCGCTGAGTTTCCCGGAAAAGCCGGAGGACCCGCTAACTAACCCTCCGACCGCCTAACCCGCAATAGGCTGAAGAAGAAAGGGCCAACGAACTTGTCTGCCCCCAAAACGCGCCTCTTACGATGTAACGGAAAAGACCGTGGAGGCGGTCTTGAATCCTCGATCATTCCTCTTTCTTGAGGCAAGCACAGAAAAGGGCTCGGGGTGGCCACCCATGACCAGCCAACGGGCGGGAGGAGGAGGAGAAGGAGGGGAGAGGAGAGGAGGAAACCAGGAGGGGGGGAAAGAATTCTAGCACGTCACCTCTAAAACGTTGTTTTTTCATTACACAATGAGGGAATCCTGCAACTAGTGGGGGTCTGAGTTTGGCAGTCCTTCTGCTCTTTTAATTTTTTTCTTTCAGTGTTTCTTTACGCAAGACGTTCAGGGTTAGTGAGAGCCGAAAGTGAAAAGTTAGGCTACAGACACAGCTGTGCAGGGAGGAAAGAGAGGGAGGATGATGGTTCCTTCAGGCAGAGACACCGTCCAAGCCTCCCTCCTGGCTCCAAAGGGCGCCCGCCGGTCGCCATCACAGCTTCGGGGGGCGGCTGCCCCCTTCCCACCTCGGAGGAGCCATCCGGAAAGGCTCAGAAAAAAAGAACATCTGGGCCAGCGCCTTCGCATTCCCCAGGTCCTGCCGTGTATGTCGGTGCCGAGAGCCGGCGGCTCAGCCCAGCCAGTCCAGGTCGTCATCATCATCATCATCTCCGAAGAGCGGGGTTGGGGGAGGCTGGCCTTTCAGACTCTGAAATGGAGACGGGGAAGGTTTAAGCCAAGGGGCCGCAGGGGACGACGAAGGCAAACGGCCTCACGGGAAGGGCTGACCGGAGATCCAGACACTCCGGATTTCCAGGCGAACGGTCCCCACGGACTCACTTCGCATTAGAAAAAAAAGTCAGATACAGTAGAATTCCTGTATTGGTGGAAGATGAGTTCCTAGCCTTCCCTTGGATGCTGAAACATGTGGATTATAGAGAACATTATTTGAACAGCATGGTCTCTGGCTCCCTCTAGTGGCCGGTTCTCATAACAAAGCCAAGGAAATCTATTTCTCTGGTGAACACCCTACACAGCGCGGTCTCTGGCTCCCTCTGGGGGTCAATTCCGGTAACTCCCCTTTTAGAAAGGTCTATTTCTCATTTTTCTTTCAGTGTTTTTAATCTTTTTCAGGCCACGAATAAGATATTGACCCCAGAGATAAGGGAGTCCTATTGTGCCGTCCATTTCTGGACTCTCGTCTACCATTTTTCTCCATGATGGCGAAAGATTGCCATCTACGATTTTATAGTGGTCCAATGAAAGGTATCACTCATCGCGATGCTTATCCAAAGCTGGCGTCTATCTGCTTCCTACCTCTTGAGGAAGCAGGTTTGACTTGCCCCTCTCGCTTCGGGGAGCCTACGCCGCTTAAAATCTTCCCCCGCACCTCCAGACCCGTTCCCTCGCAGGGTGAATCTACCTCTTAAGGCCCGCCGACACTTCGGTCAGCGTTAGAAAGTACAAAAGCCTGTCCGGATCTCACGTAGGGACACACCAGAGGAAATCCTTACCAGTTCCTCCTCCTCTTCTTCCTCCAGCGGTCCCCCAGATGGAGACGGCTTACAAGCCGCCGCTTTGAACGAACCCCCTTGGTTCCCGAGAGAGCTGTGAAGAAAGGAAGGGGGAGGAGAGAGAGAAATAAATAATGGAGTGGAGGGAGGAAGACGGCAAGTGGGGGGGGAGATCCGGTTCCACCCTGTTGTGGAGTAAACCCACATTGCCTGCCATCCCAGAAAAGACTCACTCGGATTCACTCCTCAAGGGTGTAAACCTTCTTCCCCGATACTGACCTGGCGTCCACGTGGGCAGGGCTGGGGCTTGACTCTCGCTCCGTTCCGGCCGTATCCACGTTGCCAGCTCCCAACAGAGGATCACGTGTAGGGGGATCCTGGTTGAGAACAGCCGGGCCGCGCTCTCCTCCACCCGCCGTGCCTTGGGGTGTCCCCGTCTCCTCGGCTGCCGATTTGGGAGTTCCCGGCCGCCCATCCGCCGCTCCGGCTGGGCTGGTTTCGGCCTCGGCACCCGCCTCCAGCTGTTCACAGATGACAGTCTCTCGAGGACCTTTTTCCTCTTCATTTAACGCTGGGGGAGGCTCGGGGGCCGAAGGGGGCTGCTCCTCGCGGGCTTCCGAAGCTGCAGATTTGGGCTCGGATCCTTCCAAAGGCGGGCTGGCGTCCGACTCCTTCTCAAGATGCTCCGCGTGAACCGACAGCGTGGCTCTCGGAGAAACGTTTTGGGGTTCCCCGTCAAGGGCCGCCGGGCTCGGCCGCTGCCTCGGAGCAGGATGCGGTCCTTCCTCGTCACCACTGCTTTCGCCTGTCTCCTCCGGCCTCTGCAGCAGCTGCAAAGTGATAGTCTGAAAAAAGGAAGAAGGAGTGAACTTGAGCTGGGGGGGCAGGACGGACAAAATAATCCCAATTTATAGCGTGGTCCCTGGCTCCTTCTCGTGGCCCCTTCTGGTAATTACATCAGCTATCTGTACTGCAGTTCCACAGAAATGGAGCAGATGATGGCAAAGTGCCTTCTCCACCTTCCCAAGAATCTCCCATAATAACAACAACAATAATAATAATAACCTATTTCAGGTTTAGTGGCTTAGAAGCGGTGCTTTCGGAAACACACGGGCAATAAGTGGGGAAAACTCAAACGAACTCCAATTAAACAAAACAAACTCTCTCTCTCTTTTTTTTTACAAAATCAAAAAGGGAGGAAGCATGTGATATATTGCGGCCCAGCCCTCGGCGTCTTGGCCTCGGCTTCTGCAGCCACCATATAAACCGTGACGAGGACGAAGACGCAGAGGGATCAACTCAACATGCGTCGAGTCGGGGCTGGAGAGCAGTACCTTGATGGTGTTCATGACGATCCCCAGGACGACCCGGCCAGTGTAAGAATCCTCCAGCTCAAACTGGCCTCGCAGAGACTGGAAGACTCCATTCATGATCCTTTTCACCTGGAGGGAGGAAAGCAGAGAAGTCAGAAAGGCAAGAAGGGGCAAAGGCAGGAGATGCCCGGGGTTCTGTTTGAGTTTTTTTTTTCCTTTCCCACCAAGAACTTCATCGGTGAGAATTCTGGGATCTGGAGACCAGAAACCTCTGAATCCTCAGGGATGTTTTTCGACACACGTCACTCGGCAAAGTCTGCATGGGAAGCGACTGTCGTTAGCTGGAAGGATGAACAAACGAACGTGTGGAAGTGGCTGAGCTCCATGTGAGCTACAAGGGCTCAGGGGAGCCGGTCATTTTCCTTTTAAAAAAATGCACCTTTTGCAGATCCTGCTGAGCAAAGAAGCTGCAGGGCGGCAGATCATGCAAATCCATCCACATCTCATTCCCCAAAACCAACGCTGAGCCATGTTTTGGCGTTTCCATCCATTGCACTTCTGGGGGCAGGGAGGGCCTGGTGGAAGTTTTATTTGCATGTGACACAGATGCAAAAGTTTAGTCCTAGCAAATCTGGAGAAGGCAAGCGATGGGTGTGTGTGTGTGTGGAAACATACCTCATCTGCTGAACCGGCAGGGGACGGGCGTCCCGTGCTCTTCTGAAGTTCCCGGATCCTCTCCTCATAGTGGGCCTTGAGAGCAGACACCTGGGACTGGAGAGCTAAGTACTGGTTTCGAGGGTGGAGAAACCAGAAAGCAAGCGAAGGAGGAAGAAAAAATGACAGTCAGGCCTCGCCAGTTCTCTTTCAAGAGCTAAGCGGGGTCGCACAGGGTCTGACTAGGTGAAAGAAAGGGATCTTCCCCTAAGGGTCAGGCTGAGTATAGAGATTTTAGACCAGGCAGAAACCCCATGAAAAGTTTTTCGACTCCTGGCGAGGACAGAAAGCCATTGGGGGGGGGGGTTAGAGGATTGACTGTATTAAAATCCTAGAATCATGGAGTTGGAAGGGGGCCTTGAAGGCCATCCAGTCCAACCCCCTTGCTCAGGGCAGGAAGCCAGATTGGACCGAGGGGGGGTGTCCAGTTTTTCTCTTGAGGGCCTCCAGCGCTGGAGCGCTCACCGCCTCCCCCTGAGGTCATGGGTTCCATCATCATCCCACTTTGTTTTTTGTTTTTTTGCATTTGATGGTGTTCCACCAGCAGGCACAACCAAAATACGATGTCAGTCTTTCCACAAATGGAACCATATTCAGTAAAATTCCCACCCATTATCCCCTTCGGCTTGCGAACGGCAGGCAGGCTGGATTTGAACTCACTTTTTCCTTCATCGGCTGAATCTGCTCCAGCTCTTCTTGTAAGAGGGACCGCTTCTCTTCTTCCTGGCTCCGGGCAGCTTTGAGCTGAGAAATCTAGAAAGAAAAGACCAAGACGGAGGTCTGTGTTTCAGTTTGGCGCAGGGAAGGGAGCAGCTTCTTGTGCGTTTGAGAAAGCGACACGCTGGGGCTTAGGGGGGGAAACTGTCAGGAGCCCCGCACAGGGCTGAGACCGAGAAAGAGAGGAGGGGAAAGAGGGAGGGAAGAAGCAGAAAACGGGAGGCAGGCGAGAGGGCGACTTGCCTTCTCTTCCAGCTGAGCAACCCTCTGTTCTTGGGCGTCCCTCTGCTCACACGCTTCCTGGTATTCGCGGCGATGCTCCTCGCTGGCGGCGGCGAGCAGGCGCTCACACTTGGCTTCCCACTGGGAATCCAGCTCCATCTGCAAAGTGGCCATCTTCGCCCCCACGGGGAAAAAAAAAGAGCAGCACCCCCATTAGCTCTTGCTTCTGTTCCTTCTCTCCCTCCTTGAAAGGCATCCTTGTCTCCCTCTCGCACTGGAGCCGCGATTCAGAACTGACTTGACGGCACGGGATTATTAACAATCTTTTGCCCCTGGTGGCCAAATCAATCGGGATGTTTTTTTCTAGACCAGCGGTTCCCAACGTCGGGTAAACCCGGTGGTTCTTGGACTACAACTCCCAGAAACCCTGGCCAGAACAGCTGGCGGCGAAGGGTTTTTGAGAGCTTTCGTCCAAGAACATCTGGAGACCCGAGGTCGGGAACCATGGGTCACGGTGTTGAAGAGGTTGATCTTCCACTCCGGGCCAGCCACGTGTGCCCCACATTTATTCTAAAAATCCTGGAAAGTCACCCACCTTCACGTTATTTTCTCCGGAAGGCCTAGGACAGCCACACTTTGGATTATCTCATCCATGAACAGGGGGTTAATAAAGCCTTCCTTCCTAACGTCTCACCTGCTCAGAAGTAGCCTGATCCGTCGACGTCCGAGACTTCTTCAGAAGCTGCTGGAGTTTTTCCAGCTCTTCTTGGTGAGACTTGCGAAACTCCTCCATCTCCTCCTCGGCCCGTTTTCGCTCCTCCAGGAATTTCCTCTTCCTCTCCGAGAGGCTCTAGAGAAAAACAACAACAACAACAACAGGATAAGAAAACAGAGCAACGAGGTCAGGAGCCCAAACTCCCAGCAGAAAATAAAAGTGGGAAGAAAAAAACCTTACTGATCTGGACCACAGGTTAGAGCACTGGTTCTTAACCTTGGGTTACTCAGGAGTTTTGGACTGTAACTCCCAGAAGCCTTCACCACCAACTGTGCTGGCTGGGGTTTCTGGGAGCTGCAGTTCAAAAACATCCGAGTAACAAAGGTTAAGAACCACTGGGTTAGAGGATGAAACACCTTCTTCCCCATCTTATTTGCATTATTGTAGGGGAAAGCGATGGACGGAATCTGAAATAAATCTGAAATAAACCCCTTCTTGAGGTCGCCTGCACCTTCCGGCGAGCCACCCACCTTCTCCAGCTTCTCTTTCTCCCCCCGGAGGTCGGCCAGTACTTCTTCCAAAGCCGACATCTTTCCGTCCAGCTGCTTCCGGCTCTGCTTCTCCGCTTGATATTTGCTCTTGGCGTCCTCGGACGACTCCTGGAGCTCTGAAATGGACAAAGTCGGTGCGTCGGCATCCCGTGAAGCCCCGGCCAACTACCTCCCTGCTCCCCGTACCGTGCTGGGATCATCGGAAGAACCCTTATCCTCTGTCCCCAGGGCCGGCCCGACTGTTGAGTAAAAGGACACCTCTTTCAAAGTCCCAACAAGATGTGAGAGCCAGGGTTCCCTGCCTGGGCTCCCCGGACATTCTTGAACTGTAATTCCCAGCAGCCTTCACCACTCGCTGTGCTAGCCGGGGCTTCTGGGAGTTGTAGTCTGAGAACATCCGGGGATCCAGTTGGGAACCACTGATGGGACCGATGATGTAACGGGCACGATTGGGCGCAAGATAGCCCACAAAACAAGTGTCTAGTGGTCCTTCTGCATTCTCCAATTGTAACAGGAGACTGGCCCGTCTAACTACACCTGAAGTCAAGGCTATTTGGGTGAAAATCCCAGCAAGAATCAAGCTGGCTATGTGTACCCTAAATGCCACCCTCCCCGGCCCACACGGGAGGTGGGGAGAATGGGTGTTGTTCTCCAACCCATAAGGAAACACCTGGATTTGCTCCAACCCCTTTCAGCCTCTCCCTCCTACCAGCCAGCTGTGCCTGCAGCCGGTCGATCTGCGCGCCGTTTTTCTCCACCTCTTTCAAGGCCGCGTCCAGCTGGGAGCGCAGATCCATCTCCTTTTTCCGGTGCTCCGTCAGCTCCAGCTGAAGCCGGGAGATTTGCGCCGTGGCGGCAGCCAGCTCCTCCGCCACCTTGACCTGTGAACGGGAGAAGGGCGGGAGAACCTCAAGAGAAAGGCCCCGGAGAGGTCCTCGAAAGAATGAAAAAGAGAGAATGTTCCTTTGTTTCAGCACGTGGAAAACAGCCTCAAGGCCCGTCCTGAAACTTTTATGATTTCCTTATCGTAAGGAAGAGCTGAAGGCGACGCCTCACCTGTTCCCACCCCTGATCCGGTGGCGGCGCAGGCTAGGGGGGGGAAAAAAGCAGCGACAGGAAAGCAAGTTAACACCACCAGAAGAGGGAGGAGGTGAATCATCAAAAAGGGGGGGAAAGAAAGGTTATGCCGCAGCTAGAAATGCTCAAGGTTCAGGGGTTTCAAGCCAATTGGGCGGAGGTTCAGCCGTGCGGGGATTCAGGGAGAGGCTAAGACATTTTCAAAGGCCAGGCAGAAGAATCTAAAACCTTTCGCTCCTGCTAAAAAACCTCCGAGGAAGACATGCATGCAAGATCGTCCGGCGAGATGGAATCAGCCTTTCGGAACCGAGATTACAACCCACGCAAGCGAGACCTCTTGTTAACTGTGTGTCCCGCCCTGCTGCCGGATTTACCTTCTCCTGCTCGGCGTGCAAGACGCGGGCTTGCGTGTGCTCCGTGTTCAACTGCAGTGAGCTGTTCCTCTGCTCCATCAGGAGGTTGCTCTGCTCCACGTACCTGCCGCAGAGAGGACAGAAACATCCAGTGCGCAGATCCGCAAAGGTTTCAGAGCGAGCCAGAGCTCTCTGGCCGGGCCAGAAGAAGCCACTCACAGGACCCATGAGTTCAAACCCAGAGGTTAAGACAAACCTCCAGAGTAGAACGCCCCTCACCTCTGATTGCGGGCAATCAGCTCGCTGATCTTCTCGTTCTGCTCCTCAATGCGCCCGTTCTTGTCAAACACCTCCTGCTTCAGCCTCTCGTTCTCCTAGAAGACGAAAGGGAAGCCATGGGCGCCAAGGAAGCATCACCAAGGGCCCATTCCCTTCTCTTGGCCTTCGCTCAGCGCCCCAGGGTGGCGGGGTCTACAAACCCCATCCTTCCTAGTCAAGGTTCAATGAGCCACAACACAACAGGACCGCCTTATCTGTGGGGCCAGCACCCCACACGTTTCACTTGTCCGCTAGGTCAACACAACAGGACCGCCTTATCTGTGGGGGGCCAGCACCCCACACGTTTCACTTCATTAAATCAGAAAACCCAGAAATACGCATTTCCAAGGTGTGCTACCAGAACCGGCCACTAGAGGGAAATCAGAGATTCTAGATCTGTGCTTTCCAGCATCCTTTACCTGAATGACACGCTGGATGTTGCTCATGATCATGCTGGTTTCCATGGTGACGGACGAAAAGCCCGGCAACAGGTTGTGGCCAGAATTTTGCTTCTGCAGCTCTTCCATCTGCAAAGGGGCGGAGGGAGGAGAAAAAGCACAACACTAAAGTGGCACGACTCAGCAGAAGAGGGGGAAAAAACCCAGCTGGATGAGGCCACGGCCCCTAAGCGAGGGGACAAACCGTTCACAGCCATCGATTCCAGGTGAGAAGGGCTGGCAAGAAGCAGAGATGGATAAACGGTTCAGGAAGGATGATGGGACACGGGGTTCACTGATGCCCAAGATACGAACGTTGTGTGCTTCCTAGCCAGAAGTGAGTCAATGCCAGCGCTCTTCTCCAGTAGGCAGATTAAAAAATGCTAACGGACCCCTCTATCCGCGGGATCAATATCTGCTGATTCACTTATCCACGGTCCCAAAATATTAAAAGAAAAATCCTAGAAAAATGCATTACTAAAAAGGAAGCAACCAGAACTGGCCACTAGAAGGAACCAGAGACCATGCTAAATGCCTAGCGTTCACTATCATCCGCTTTTTCGGCCTCTGCATTCGCTATAATCCCACCATTATCCAGAATGATCACAAGAATTCAGGATTATAACTGCCGGTCGCTACCTTGGAGGTCAGCTGGTCTATTTTGTCAGCCACTTTGCCAACGGCCAGGCGGATTTCTGTGTTCTGCTGCCGTGCCTCTGTCATCAGAAACGAACCAATGTCTCCAGCTGTTGAGAAAGACACCAAAAGATGCTTGATGGAGTTAGGAATTTCAGCCCTGCACTCCCAGATCTGTGCATTTGCAGCCTGCGTTTTGGAACCTGTTTTTTATATAAAGCAGACCTGGGGCAGACGGCTAAGTTGACTTTGGAATCTTTCTTATATCTTATTTTTTCCTGCAAGCACCCACAACGCAGAGGGGCCCTGCCTGTCGGAGAAAAGCCATGGGTCGGAAAAGAGAGAGAGAGAGAGAGACAAAAACCAAACAGAAAAAAAAAATAATGATTTTGAAAATGTGGTGACCCTCGACTCAGTGTCATATTTTAACATGAGCTTTCGTAGATCAAGTCCACTTCTTCAGACTTAAAGAGTAGGATTACATGGCAAATATTTATCTATTTAGACAGAGGAACATTGCCAGAAGAGACTATCGTTTCAAGAGAGAGGTTTGGGGGGGAAAGGCAGAACTTTTCGATTGTGCAGGATTTCATACCTGACAATGAGCTTTAAGACCTCTCTCTCTCTCTCCCTCTGTCTGTGTGTGTGTGTGTAAAAAATATTCTTTACTGGTCTCCTAATAGCATCCTCTGCCCTCCCCTTTGGATTCCATAAGGAACACACAACATTTTGCAATAATCTTAATAAAGACCTTAGCAGCTCCCAAGGCCGGGTGGTAAATCCTGCAAACGTACCTTGGAAGGGTGTTGGGTAGAGGGTCCCAACAGGCTGGAGCTGAGAGGTGGCCGCGGTGGCTTGTGGGTAAGCGTAGGTCACGCCTGCATAGGGCTGGGGACACAGCAGGAGGGAAGGAGGGGAGAGGAAAGGGGTGAAGGCAGCCCCACACAGCCATTCCATCATCCACCCAACGGCTTGCAGGATCAAGAAAAGGGTGCCGTTCCTTCTTGTCACCACTGGGAGTGGAGGGTTGTATTTTAATTTTAATTTGAAACACATTCAAATCCACTTTTAAAACAAACCCTCCAGGGTCCAAGGCTAGATGTACGCAGTTCCATCCCCATCGCAGAAGAGGAGCACGGCAGATTCCACCTTCCCTGGACCCAACTCTTGATTTTCTCACTGATGGATGGCTTACAGAGGCCTCCTGAGACCCATGGCAGTTTGCCAAAGACTTAACGCTCCGATGGCCAAAATCAGGGGCACGTCGCTCGGCACGGAGCGCATCTGCCTTGCAAACTCCTTACGAGCCCCATGAGCCGCGGGGAAATTGGCTCCGCCCTCTACCGTGGATGCCTGAAACCGCGGATACAAGAGAACCCTTACACGCAACATGCCAGAGAGTTGGGAGAAGGCCACAAGGGGAGGGCAGCACTCTCACATGCTGCAAACTGCAGAGGAGTGAAACCACAGCTCTTGGCCCGCAGATAAGGAGGTCGTACTATATGTGATTCCTCATTTCTATGGCCCTCTTTCTTCGATGATAAAATGAACGCCATTAACTGGGACCTCCGTACCTGAAAGCTCTGAACAGTTCCAGGAACAGCTGGATGTGTCTGAACCGCTGCAGTCAGGACGGCCGCGGTGGGCACCTGGAGTCCAGAGCCAGCTGGCTGAGGCACTGAGAAAAAAATTGGAAAAAAAAGGTATCAACGTTAATAATCTCTGTACAGACAGGGTCCATTTCTTACTTTAGAGAAGCTGTCCTGGCCTCTCTCTTGTTCCCCCCCATCACCAGTCTACACCCCCACCCACCCAACAATGCTAACACATTCTGGCCCGTCCCAATGATTTCAGACGCCAACTCAAGTTTCTAGCCCATATGGCTGACAAATCTACGTTCAGAAGCGCAAAGTTAACACATGTCCGTGACCTGAGGATCAGGCCCGACTTCCGATCCCACGCCATTGGCTTTCAACAGGGAAAATCAAGTCACAGCAGGCTTCTAAAATATTTTAGTGAGATTTTTTTGGGGGGGGAGGAGGAATCAAGGGGTAAAATGATCCCTTTGGTTCGCCACTGGGGTCCACGGCGGGGAGGTACGCACGCCTCACCTTGCGTCGGCGTGTGAGGAAGAACGGTTTGGGGAGACGGCTTCGGGGGAGAAGGGGCGGCCGGCTGCGCTGTTCCACGCAAGGTGTGCAGATCCTGGGTGGAGGAGGGGAAAAAAGACATATTCCTACAGAGGTTGCACCCCATTAGACTTTCACCCCACCCCAGAAGTTTATAAAGCTACTGTTGTGTCATCACGTCGCTTCCAGCTTAGGACGACCCCGTGAAGGAGGGGTCTCCAAAATGTCCCGCCTTCACTTGCCCTGCTCAGAAAATCAAGCCTGTGGCTTCCTTTAAGAAGTCTGTCTGTCTCACGTTATTGGGTCTTCCTCTTTTCCTGCTCCCTTCCCTTTTTTTTTTCCAAGCATGGCGAGTCTTTTCCATACAGCAAAGCAAACGCACCTCGATCTCCGAGTCGCTCGAGTCAAGTCCTGCTTGAGCCGTGCCAGGGAAAAAAGGCAGCATGGGCTGCCCCATCTTCGCCATCCGGGAAATCAGCTTTGCTTTCGCCGCGTCAGGATTCTGCCCCCATATCAGCAGGAGATCAGCTCCAAGAGGATGCTGAAAACTGCAGATAACAGAAAACGCTTTTGAAAACCAAGTACAGTGGTGCCCCGCAATACGACAACCCCACAGTACGACGAAACCGCAGTACAGCGACATTGCTGGGTACTAATTTTACCAACCTCAGAAGGATAGAAGGCTGAGTCAACCTTGAGTCGGCTACGTGGGATTGAACCCCAGGTCGTGAGCAGTTTTGGCTGCAGGACAGCCGTTGAACCATTGCGCCATGAGGCTCTTAATTCTTAAAGGGGTCCTACTGTTTTGAAATCCAGCCCTTGATATTTCATTTGTGATAGAATTTTGAGACTGATGATTCCCCAGCCTGAACTCCAGAGTTCAGTATCCATCTTTCTATCCAGACCACAGGCTTCCTCTGTCAGTAACAGGAAGAAAAAATATCCAGACCACTGTACATTATATGTTCCAGGGCAAGTGGGAGCCTGCTTCGGTGGTCTCAAGACTACAGCTCCCATCAGCCTCACATAGGCAACAGTTACAGCCCAAAACATTTGGGAGGAGGGTCCAGGTTTCTCGCTAAAAGCTAGCTTGACTCTAAGGAACAGTAATTCACAGATTCGGCGTGGCTACGAACGTACCGTCAGCTGCTCGCTCCCAGAGTTGGATTTAGTTCTCGGAGGCACCTCCCTGGAGCGTGGGGGGAAAAAATTAACACACGAGCGTCACAAAAGCGATGCAACGTTCTACACAATGAGAACGGCAATGAGTGGACAGAAGGATAAAGATGCCACAAAAAGCAGGCTGTAAATATAGTTTAATTCCGTACCCTGGTTTTGGAGGTACTGTGGAGGGAGGTCCCCCTACTGGGTCTGTCGATGTGTTCTCGGGGGGTGGTGCTGGTGGTCCCGGAGAAGGTGCAAGCGAGTCCTGAGACCCCCGATTCTGCCCGTTGGAGGCGGCCTCCTTTCCAAGCCTCACCTAGAAGAGCAAAATTCGCACTCAGAACTTGCCAAAAGCAATGCCCGCTTAAGACTTTATCTCCTGCAAAGAACCTGGAGGTCTTTTTTCCCAACACCGGAAAAAAGCGATCTAAGAAAGCCACCCCTTTCCCAAAGAATTACAGGGGGAAAAATTAGGAATACTGGCAATTCTCTGCCAGTTAGCAACAGGTTGCAAACAAAACACTCACGCGCTTGATGTCCACCTCAAAAGCCAACGTGGAATCTGGAGGAACACGGTTTGGGACCCCTTGCGAGCCATACGCCAAGGACGGTGGGATGATGAGGAAACGCCTCCCACCTTTCTTCATGCCAATCATCCCTTCTTCCCACCCCTTCAGGTCCAGAAAGGGAAAATAACAAAGTGGTTGGTTGAGGGCTATTTATTTTTACCATAATTTTCTCCTTTAAAAAAATACTTAAGGCCGCCTACGTCATTAAAAGACCATATTGGTTGGTTGGTTATTTATTTGTTTGTTTTAAATATTTCTACCCTGCCTTTCTCCTTTAAAAAAAGGACTCAAGGCAGCTTACATCATTAGAAGACCATAAGAAGGCGCTCCCCAACCCTGGGTCCCCAGATGTTCTTGAACTGCAGAAATCTGCAGAAAAAATATATACCGTATTTTTCGCTCCATAAGACGCACCTTTCCATAAGACGCACCGATTTTTTAGGAGAAGAAAACAGGGAAATATAATCTGTTTTCTTCGCTCCATAAGATGCACAGACTTTCCACCCCCCTGTTTTGTGGGAAAAAAGTGAGTCTTATGGTGCAAAAAATACAGTATATACTTTTTCGGTAATGACTGTTTAGCTCCTTGACAACACAAGAATACAGATTTTTCCTTCTCTAGATAGATCAGGGGGCTTAGCCTTCTCAAATTCCCAAAAATCTGAGTTAAGGCTGGTCCTGAACACCTTTTGATTATTTGGGGGAGGGAGTGATTCTGGAATCCCATTTTCACAATTTCTGGGCCTCATTTATCACTATCTGATTTATCACTACCTCCCAGGTTAAAAATAAAGGTAAAATCATTCACCAGGATCCTCCTCTCCAACAGGGCTAGCTTGCTTACCTTTATGATTTTCCCCGAACCCAATTTCAGGCGCAAAAACTTGGGTTTGTTCACATTGGAGTCAAACACCTGTGGAAAAAAGAGGATAGGGTGGATGAAAGATCTTCCAAACTCCTGAAGGCCCAGCAGGTTCAGATTTTGCTCCTCAAGCAATCAAAGAGATTGTGCCAAGATTTCTATCTCGCACGGCATGAATTTTAGAGAACGGCCAAGTAGGATCACGAACTGTCACCTTGCTGCTTTCTGAGTTCAGTCTTTATCGTCTTAAAAAAGTTGCAAGGTTGGGGGAGAAATTTCTCCACCTGAGATCTTAGGCAGCCGAGTTAATCCCCACATAAAAGCCAATTCTCTAGCACCATGTGGAGTTGTCGCTACAGAACAGTGGAAATATGCATGCAACTCCACACTGTGCTGCAATCACTGGGTTCAACACCATCTCCTGTGGCTTGAACAGGGACAAAGGCTTTTTATCACACTAGATAGATTAATAAACTTAACAGAGCAAGAATGCATGTTTTCCTTCTCGACGACTAATTGATAATGACTGTTGCTACATTTCTGTTCCCTCTGGCTCCACCGATCACCATCCCTCACGTTTAAATCACTGCTTCCTAGCCAACACCATCACGGATCTAACAAAGTCCATTAAAGCTTAAAGCAAATAAAGGCTGTTTGTGCCTCAAGGTATCACAAGACTTTTTTGTTGCTTGTGATGCCATCTGGGACAGATTTGACAGGTCCTCCTTCTCTTTCAGCCAAAAAGAAACAAGCACTTGGCGTGTTAGACTTAATGATGATTTTGAGACCGTGCCAAATCTAAACAGAGGGAAGTTAATTACGACTGAAACAGCATGATCAACTCATTTCTAAGTTTCACCTGCCCAAGTCCAGCGTTCTGGAACAGCCAACCCGTAAAGACCGCTTCCAGCGCATCTCCTGCTTCCACACCTTGGCCCTCTCCGACAATCAGATCCTGGCACACCACTGTGTCAGGAGAATGACTGCTGTTATATTTGGCAATACAGAGCTACAAGAGAAAGAACCAGGCCTTTAGTATCAGAGGATATGAAATTTTGCATCTAATGTGACACCGTGGAGGGTCTGAGATTCTGGCCGCTTAAGCCCCTACCTGTTTGCTGAAATCTACAGCGGCCTTTTCGGATTCAAACATGACAGACCAGTTCTGCCTCTGATCGTCATAAAAGGTACCGTAGTTATTTGGCTGGACCTGTGGAAGAGAGAGAGAGAGAAAAAAGGAAGAATATAAGTTCAGAGTCGTAGGTAGCCTCAATGGGGAGATGCTGAGTTTTGCTCTGTCGTGATCGCCGAAACAGCGGGAGGACTGTAGAATGTTAATAGAAGGGAAACACTTTGCAAGATTAGGAAGGTTTGGTCCTAGACAAAAAATCGGCAGGCAACGCTATGATAAGTGTCGTAAACAAGATGGGGAAAATACTCGGCAATGAAATTATTGACAGTGGGTTGGAATCAGTGTTGGAACATTTGTGATAGAACTGCATGGAAAGTAGCAATGGTAACCCCCTGCTGAACTTCTCACTACCCTGAAAACTGTATAATGAGACAGTCCAAACTGATACAAGAGATAGTGCTGGAAGATGGGACTCCCAGCTCAGAACCCAAATAACCTGATCCTTATTTTCTCTTCTTTAAAACAACAAACAGGAGACACCAGATGCTTAAGACCTTTTCATAACCTGATATTCTATTTCTATTCTGCCTTTACTCCCACAGTAGAACCGTAGGCTATAGGACTGCCAAGGAGAGTCCTATCTGTGGGTTCAAGGGAATTCCAACTAGATTTCCCTCCAACAACCAACCAAGTGTGTAGGATTAGCTTCACAAAGGCAGAGGAACTGTGTGCCTTCAGA